CTTTCTCTTCTACTTGTCCGAGTATATCAGTATCTCGCTGAGTTTCTTGTAGTATTTAAGTATGTGGAAGCCTGTACGTCGTGGTAATCGCTATTACGTGATTTTTCGAGCCGCAGTTTTCTTCAGCGAAGGTAAACTGCTTATTGTTTTGTGTTCTTGAACAAACAAGAGAATGGTTCTAACACTGTTTATTGTAAATGTTAGTGACCCACGGTGGATGCTTTGCTGTCACAATGCTGAGCCAGCAGAAGACACTATTGCGACGCTGGAGAAGATTATGAATTTGGGCTACCAACCTCTTCTTTTTCATGTTTGGATCTGTAACGACGGCTAGTGCAAATTCAAATGGGAGACTGGCAGTCTAGTTCCTAAGGTTAGCGTGAATACTAGTGTGATGGAGATGCTAGTGATGTTCGTCACGAGGTGGCTCAGTTCATGTACGATCGCATGTGCGCGTCGTACGAGTTGGCAATGGACAAATGGCGCAAGGAACACACCACTGTGGAAAGATGCCGACGGTGGCAAATCCGCGCATCTGTGAACCGCATCGACTGCGCTATTGATCCGTGCGTGACGACTATCAGTCAAGATGACGTTTGTGGGACACATCAAGCCGCCTTTGCACCACTCAAAGGCTGGCAGCATAACAACGTGCTGTACAATGAAGGTGCTTGTGGTCACTATGCCATCATAACGATATGAAGCTCCAAGATGCGAGATGCTTATATAAGCTACACTCCCGTTTTTCTTCGACGCGCTGCAGACTCGTTTACGCGCTGCTGTGCTCCTGACTGTGCTGATATCGGTAAGATCTATTGTGCTCTATGTCAGGCAGCCGGAATGCCGGAAGCCCAGATCATGTACTGCTCAAGGGACTGCTACATTGCATCGGAGCACGTCAAGTCGAGTATTGATCGCCACCAGCAGATGCAGAACACCATTTCGAGCGCATGAAGTGGACCAGCTGTGGTAGCAAGATCAATTAAACAAAGGGATTGTGCCGCAAGTGCAGCCGTGCTGTGAGCCGACGTGATAGCAACCAGTTTGTAAGTATTTCGGCCGCTGATACTTGGACCATGTTTCGGTAAACCAGGTCGGCTTTGTGCAGACGCTTCAGTACTTTGAGGACTGTCTGCAGCTACGCCTTAATGACCCGTGCGGTCACCGTAACTCGACGTTCTCTGATTCGGCGCAGACTGGTACGGATGGATACGACTGCGCTTGACTTAGGATATTCCAGGCATCTTGTCAACCAGAATGTTGCAATAGACTGTCTGTTCATCTCGCTGTCTCTCTACACCGTTTAATCACTGTCCTGTTGAAGCGAATGAACCACAACAACATGTAATGCTATTTCTTATGTTGATAAAGCGCGAATTTCATGCATAACGACAAATCCGACGTCTGTGCGCTCATTTCAACTTCAAAGCCTTACCGTGGCCTATTGGCAAACCGCTTCTGTTGTTCTTTGCAAAGACGTCGAGCTGAAGTATCAGAAACATTGAGTCTTCAGTACACTTTTGCCACACTGTCAAGAAAACAATCATGTGCCAATCGATCGATGGACGGTGTTGTGAAAATCGGTTATATGATGCCGAATTGGACGAGGTCTGACTACGAAGCTAAGAATCAATTTGCCAACTCTGGTGAGTACACGGCAATCACGAAAGCGGCAAGTGTAGACAGTATTTGATCTTAGCTGAACGACCATCACGCCACCTTTATCTCCGAGGGCAATATCCAGCAGATCGCAGCAGCAGGACTCAACACAGTTCGAGTACCGTGGGTTTCCTCGATATCTGTCTCTTATACGAGCCCAACGGCAGCACGGACGAAAGGATACTATACTACAACGATGCGTATCGTGGCGTGTGCTCGACTGGAAGTAACTGCGTGCTGAGTATTATGCCCATGCTACAGAAACAGAACCCTGACGAGATGGTCGACTTTATGACAATGCCAGAGTTTTTGAACATCTGGGTCGAATGGCACCACTACTTTGTCTGGGTCGAATCATGATGAGCACTCGGTGAACGTGGCTGTTTAACATGACTACAATGAACGCGTAGGCAAGTAGAACGCGACAAACAAGAACACCCGGTTGTTCAGTGGCGAGTGGAGCTTGGCCACGACTTCAAACATCCTCTGCAACAACCCCCACTTCTTCTACAAGAGTTTGCTACAGAGCAGTTGAAGATTCACGACCAAGCGGAAGCAGGTTGGACATTATAGTCGTGGAAGGTAACAAGGGACGGTAATAGCGACGTGGATGCCTGGTCGTTGCAAGAATTCCTCAAGAACGACCAAATTGCCACAATGTTCCGCAACAGTTTGTGATCCGACCTATTCATGGTACGGGGTTCACTAGAAACAAGAAATGTTTCCATGTTGAATTGCGTTTAGTACTGAACTCCTCTGCTTTTTTCCGTTCTACAGCGGTGTACTAAGTGTTAACAAGAGCATTGACTATGAACGATACTGCTACTACATGTCTGCCGACGTTTTAGTGTTCAGGTCCTGAGAGACTACAGCTTCAGAATGATCCGAGTGTTCATAACCAACAATATGATACGCTTTGCATTTTTCAAGAGCTACTTCGGGATACACCGTATGGTAGCACGCACGTTGTCAAGGTGATAGAATTGAGCCCCTTCACTGGTATGCAGTTTTTTGATCATTCGGTTTAGCGACGACTTCGTTGAATGCAAAAACACACGAGATTCATTGTCGTTGTGGTTTTTGTGCCACCCAAGTTAATCACTGGATAACATCATTAAGCCTCACAACTCAAGACAAGATCAATAGAGGATTCAAAAACTACTATTCTTGAACTATGGCTGTAACATGAGACGCGCGAGAATCCGTGGCGTTAGACGTCATACAGGTGCCAATAGTATTTACGATACTGGTGATGACAGCAGTTTCATTACAGTAATGTATATACTACTGGAATGAACAATATGGACAAAGTTCTTGTCCATTGGGACGATCATAAAGATTGCACTCAGGGTTACTGCTACCTTAAGAGGGATGAGGCCCACACAATCCGACCAGTGGCTAACGTGTCAAATCCCTTATACAGTAGTCATTATCGTATCCATAGGTTGTTGACTGATTCTATTACTATTCGCTGTCCGGCACAAAAAGGCTTCATTGCAATTGAGCTTTGCGTGGGAAGCTGACGTAGATACGTATAGTTTGACACTAGATACTGTTGGTTGCCACACCCCTAGGGTACCTGAATCTTTATGTCGTCTCATTCCAAGAATATCAACTCTTTTTTGTCTATTCCAATATGCCTTACCCCTACTCTTCACACTCACCATTCCTTTTTCTCATAATTTCTTTTCTTCCAATGAGCCCACGCAATCCCACCGTAACGTGTCAAATCCCTTAACAGAGTATTATCGTATCCATAGGTTGTTGACTGATTCATTACTATTCGCTGTCCGGCACAAAAAGGCTTCATTGCAATTGAGCTTTGCGTGGGAAGCTGACGTAGATACGTATAGATTTGACACTATGACTACTTGTTGGATTGCCACACACCCTAGGGGATAAACCTGAGTGCAATCTTTATGATCGTCTCAATTAGCCAAGAACAATATGCAACTCTTGGTTATTGAATCTATTCGACAATATGGAACCGGTGCTACCCGCTACTGCATTCAACAACTCAGAACTCAATGTACCTTAGTCATACGGACGATCATAAAGATTGCACTCAGGTTTTCTTCCGTAAGGGGGATGAGGCCCACGCAATCCCACCAGTGGCTAACGTGTCAAATCCCTTATACAGTAGTCATTATCGTATCCATAGGTTGTTGACTGATTCTATTACTATTCGCTGTCCGGCACAAAAAGGCTTCATTGCAATTGAGCTTTGCGTGGGAAGCTGACGTAGATACGTATAGATTTGACACTATGACTACTAGTTGGATTGCCACACACCCTAGGGGATAAACCTGAGTGCAATCTTTATGATCGTTCCAATTTGACGTCCATATTGTCGATTATGGTTACTTGGAATTGCTGTCCTTAACATTTGATTGTATTGTAGTGGCCACCTGTCTTCTGTAGCCACAGATGCTAGGGTAGCTAACGTTACAGCCATGGTTATAAAATAAGAATTTGTATGTAGGCAATAGACAGAGTGGCTATAGTGTGTATGCATGCACATTACCTTTAGGCTTGCTGTCCTTACCATTGAATCAGCCAGGTGCAATCACTACGAGATCGTATTGTATTTGACACCTGCAATTTGGGGAGTAGTATTAGTCGCTACTGAATCAACAATACAGAACCCACTACACCTTGTCATTCGGACGATCATAAAGATTGCACTCACGTTTACTTCCTTGGCAGGAGGAGGGGGGGAAGGGCCCCACGCATCCCAACAGTGGCGAACGTGCAAATCCCTGCACATAATATTATTAAAGCATTGTTCGCAGAATGCTGTCTCATCCTAGCACAATGTGTTGTCGGGCACAAAAAGGCATCAGTGTAATTGAGCTTTGGTGAGACTCTGACGGTAGATTTGCTATGTGGAATTTTCGGATAAATGAGCATTCGTGCTGAAGCCAGATACATGGCTACGACAATGAGTGGTCCTGGTGACTTGCACATACGCACTGATCAATATCTTCAATTTGATTCTCCGACAAGCTATAGGATTCGCTGTACTTGGTGGGAGTTAGTTGTTGTGGGAGTTGGTTTTAGTGTATGTCATTTTCAAATTTGCTTTAACTTCCTCACGACTGATCAAGTAACTTACGAGTATGAAACTTTTGCTTGCTACCGCTGCTCTAGCTGCTTGTCTCGCCACTCCTCTGACCAGTTCTCTCACCACTACAATCTCCTGTAATGTCCCCAGCATCTCCGAGAATGTTCTAATTGGTCCTAACCACAAAGATTACGAGGAATTCTGCAACCAGCACGATATGGCTGAAAGAGGTAATTATTTTTTCGTTACTAACACCCATGTGGAAAAGTACTGGACTATGTTTGATAGCCACTGCACCGCTGTCACAGATTACTCCAACGAAAAAATTGGGTTGGAGATTTTCTTCGACATTAAGGACGGTAATTCGATGGTTCGGTCGTATTCACACGTAGATATCACGTTTAAACCTGTTCTGCCTCTCTACATCAGTTCAATTCCATTTTCGATGGAATATAGAATCAAACACGATGATTCCGCTTCTCTGAACGTCTATGCAAGGTGTTTGTTCTACGCTAATGCACACACGACCTATTCTCTCACGGTGTTGTTTGAGCTAGTAGGTGGTATGAAGAATCTGATTAATTTGAAGAAACTTAACGATGACGTAAAGATTGGAGAGGACAGTTATGAATTGTACGATGGAATTTTTGGAAATTTTGATGGATACATTTTTGTGGCGATTAAGGGTAACAGGCGTCTTAACATTGACTTCAATGGTTTTTTCAAAGCGCTCCCGAAAAACTCTAAGATTAATTCGAACCAATATCTGTACAGTTTGTCTGTGGGCTCACAGGTCGTTCAGGGTTCAGGCACGGTAAAATTCACAGGCTTCTCGGCTGCTGTCAACTACCTCTCACACTGAATGTGGGCTCAGAGTGTGAGTCTTTGGAACGTTCAGGCACGTATGATGGTAACGACGGAATGTCGCTTTACTTTAATTTCCGTTCGTAAAAGATAGTAAGAATTGCATTCTCCATATCTTAGTAAAAAGTAAATGAAGGTTGTCGTTCTTCTTCTAGTTCACTTAGAATGTTGTGTTTACATTGTAAGTTATTTGCATGTACCTAACTCTGTGGTCGTGCATTGATGCTGTGTTTTCGTTAGGTTCGTATGTGACATATATTTGAATACCAGTCCCATCAGGCACAGCCTTTGGTAAAGTCGCAATCGCTGGCTTCAAGGTAAAAAACAGGGATACCTTCTCTCCACTTTGCGCGTTCCACAGAAGGCGGCGCAACGTGCGGACCGTAAGGAACCAGGCAATCCGCAAGTTGTCCCGCGAAGAAAGACGAGTCAACACAGCTTAATCACTTTTCCATCATACAGTTACTACGCGTCTGATTTCGCCTAATCCCTGCTCCGGGGATCGTGCTCGTTCAACGCAAACTCCGATTCCATGAAGCGAACTTCCTCTAGAACATACTGCCCTCGATGAGATCCAGTACTGGCTTGTTATTGCAGGGTCTGAACCAAGCCGATATTGTTCGTCCAGTTGTGTCGTCTAGCATGTCTGCGCCAGATCCACTTTACGCGTTTGAATCGGAGAGCCGAGCAAGTCAAGCGCATGAAGGGGCCCTGGACTTCTGTCATGTTGACTCGTTGAGGTCTGTCCGCAGAGGATTGTCATTTCTTCCTGGTCTAGCGTCCTCTCTGCCCTGCCCGTGAACTTCTCCAAATGTGTGAGCAGTCTAGCCATGTAGCCTGAGTGCCATCCGTGAAGCTAATCCCGGACTTGATCAACGAGGTCCACGTGCCCTTCAACCCACTTCCTCCCGCAATGTCTGATGTTATTGAGCGCGCAGAATGAGACGCCGAAGACGGCCACGGCTCTACATGGAGGAAGAAGAAGGTCACACTTTACTCGAGGTTATGCGCGTGACATTTTAATTTTATTTTATTTGTCATCATTACATAATGCTAAGCACAAATCGACTATCTCGATCATCATCATCATCTACGTGCATCCAATCAATACAAGGTGATTCGATTTGATTTACTTCAAGAGAGCATTACCCAGTTCAAGACGCAAAGAACCAGTCACTATGGTCGTTTGGATTCCATGGCCAATTCGCATCCATTCGACGTTCCTAAATACACTCACTGCCTGAAGAAGCTCAGTACGAGAAGACAGGTCTTTCAGACGTCAAGTCCACCCGCAACTTTCGTCACCTGTCTATCCGGGTAAGAAATCTTCTCTCACAGTCTACAATGGATGCACAGAAAACCAGTAGCGAATTTACGAAACATACGAGGTGCAAGAATGTGGGCAAAACCTCAGTGTATGCATGGTTGGACGCACAAGCTGGGGAGTCGAAAGTTCAAAGGTCCTGTGGCCAAAAGCCCTATGTTTCCCTTGAATGCGCTCAAATGTAGTACTTTCATAATGATGTCGACTGTCGGAAGTACTTTGATTCACACAATGATATACTGGTCGTGGGTGCCATTGACCTGCGCGATTCTTTTGTGCTTGAACAAAGTGAACGCCTTAATTTACCGATCAGGTATTGTCCTTCACACGCGTCATAGTGCATGGCTTGTGTGTCCCAAGAAGGCCAGGACTTTACTATATGGTTCGATGCACTTGAATTTACCGTCATATTAGCGGGGTTTGGAAATGTTGTGAAGCGCGACGTGCCTAGTGCCCGCGTGTACGAAATAAAGGGGGAACGATTCAATTCTCGGCTTTTGTTCTCGTCCTTTTTGTGGTCACGGCACTCATTGATCTTGCAGGTATCTTGCTGTGGTTCTCCCTAGGTATCAAGCCTTGTAATGTCAAGCACAAGACAGACACATGTGAGAAATTCTGTTGCTTCACGCTGAGATGTTGCGGCGCAGTGACAGGTTCTTTAACGGAGTCTGGGACCCTCTGCAGCAGTATCATTGGTCGGCTGGCAATGATTGATACGGCAAGGTGTTATAAGGAACCTCGCATTGGTGGCTGGATGTCATACTTTCTCTTCTACTTGTCCGAGTATATCAGCATCTCGCTGGGTTTCTTGTAGTATTTAAGCATGTGGAAGCCTGTACGTCGTGGTAATCGCTATTACGTGATTTTTCGAGCCGCAGTTTTCTTCAGCGAAGGTAAACTGCTTATTGTTTTGTGTTCTTGAACAAACAAGAGAATGGTTCTAACACTGTTTATTGTAAATGTTAGTGACCCACGGTGGATGCTTTGCTGTCACAATGCTGAGCCAGCAGAAGACACTATTGCGACGCTGGAGAAGATTATGAATTTGGGCTACCAACCTCTTCTTTTTCATGTTTGGATCTGTAACGACGGCTAGTGCAAATTCAAATGGGAGACTGGCAGTCTAGTTCCTAAGGTTAGCGTGAATACTAGTGTGATGGAGATGCTAGTGATGTTCGTCACGAGGTGGCTCAGTTCATGTACGATCGCATGTGCGCGTCGTACGAGTTGGCAATGGACAAATGGCGCAAGGAACACACCACTGTGGAAAGATGCCGACGGTGGCAAATCCGCGCATCTGTGACATCGCATCGACTGCGCTATTGATCCGTGCGTGACGACTATCAGTCAAGATGACGTTTGTGGGACACATCAAGCCGCCTTTGCACCACTCAAAGGCTGGCAGCATAACAACGTGCTGTACAATGAAGGTGCTTGTGGTCACTATGCCATCATAACGATATGAAGCTCCAAGATGCGAGATGCTTATATAAGCTACACTCCCGTTTTTCTTCGACGCGCTGCAGACTCGTTTACGCGCTGCTGTGCTCCTGACTGTGCTGATATCGGTAAGATCTATTGTGCTCTATGTCAGGCAGCCGGAATGCCGGAAGCCCAGATCATGTACTGCTCAAGGGACTGCTACATTGCATCGGAGCACGTCAAGTCGAGTATTGATCGCCACCAGCAGATGCAGAACACCATTTCGAGCGCATGAAGTGGACCAGCTGTGGTAGCAAGATCAATTAAACAAAGGGATTGTGCCGCAAGTGCAGCCGTGCTGTGAGCCGACGTGATAGCAACCAGTTTGTAAGTATTTCGGCCGCTGATACTTGGACCATGTTTCGGTAAACCAGGTCGGCTTTGTGCAGACGCTTCAGTACTTTGAGGACTGTCTGCAGCTACGCCTTAATGACCCGTGCGGTCACCGTAACTCGACGTTCTCTGATTCGGCGCAGACTGGTACGGATGGATACGACTGCGCTTGACTTAGGATATTCCAGGCATCTTGTCAACCAGAATGTTGCAATAGACTGTCTGTTCATCTCGCTGTCTCTCTACACCGTTTAATCACTGTCCTGTTGAAGCGAATGAACCACAACAACATGTAATGCTATTTCTTATGTTGATAAAGCGCGAATTTCATGCATAACGACAAATCCGACGTCTGTGCGCTCATTTCAACTTCAAAGCCTTACCGTGGCCTATTGGCAAACCGCTTCTGTTGTTCTTTGCAAAGACGTCGAGCTGAAGTATCAGAAACATTGAGTCTTCAGTACACTTTTGCCACACTGTCAAGAAAACAATCATGTGCCAATCGATCGATGGACGGTGTTGTGAAAATCGGTTATATGATGCCGAATTGGACGAGGTCTGACTACGAAGCTAAGAATCAATTTGCCAACTCTGGTGAGTACACGGCAATCACGAAAGCGGCAAGTGTAGACAGTATTTGATCTTAGCTGAACGACCATCACGCCACCTTTATCTCCGAGGGCAATATCCAGCAGATCGCAGCAGCAGGACTCAACACAGTTCGAGTACCGTGGGTTTCCTCGATATCTGTCTCTTATACGAGCCCAACGGCAGCACGGACGAAAGGATACTATACTACAACGATGCGTATCGTGGCGTGTGCTCGACTGGAAGTAACTGCGTGCTGAGTATTATGCCCATGCTACAGAAACAGAACCCTGACGAGATGGTCGACTTCATGACAATGCCAGAGTTTTTGAACATCTGGGTCGAATGGCACCCCTACTTTGTCTGGGGGTTCGAGCATACATCGAATGAGCACTTGGTGAACGTGGCTGTTTAACATGACTACAATGAACGCGTTGGCAAGTAGAACGCGACAAACAAGAACACCCGGTTGTTCAGTGGCGAGTGGAGCTTGGCCACGACTTCAAACATCCTCTGCAACAACCCCCCACTTCTTCTACAAGAGTTTGCTACAGAGCAGTTGAAGATTCACGACCAAGCGGAAGCAGGTTGGACATTATAGTCGTGGAAGGTAACAAGGGACGGTAATAGCGACGTGGATGCCTGGTCGTTGCAAGAATTCCTCAAGAACGACCAAATTGCCACAATGTTCCGCAACGTTTTGTGATCCGACCTATTCATGGTACGGGGTTCACTAGAAACAAGAAGTGTTTCCATGTTGAATTGCGTTTAGTACTGAACTCCTCTGCTTTTTCCGTTCTACAGCGGTGTACTAAGTGTTAACAAGAGCATTGACTATGAACGATACTGCTACTACATGTCTGCCGACGTTTTAGTGTTCAGGTCCTGAGAGACTACAGCTTCAGAATGATCCGAGTGTTCATAACCAACAATATGATACGCTTTGCATTTTTCAAGAGCTACTTCGGGATACACCGTATGGTAGCACGCACGTTGTCAAGGTGATAGAATTGAGCCCCTTCACTGGTATGCAGTTTGTTTGATCATTCGGTTTAGCGACGACTTCTAGTTGAATGCAAAAACACACGAGATTCATTGTCGTTGTGGTTTTTGTGCCACCCAAGTTAATCACTGGATAACATCATTAAGCCTCACAACTCAAGACAAGATCAATAGAGGATTCAAAAACTACTATTCTTGAACTATGGCTGTAACATGAGACGCGCGAGAATCCGTGGCTTTAGACGTCATACAGGTGCCAATAGTATTTACGATACTGGTGATGACAGCAGTTTCATTACAGTAATGTATATACTACTGGAATGAACAATATGGACAAAGTTCTTGTCCATTGGGACGATCATAAAGATTGCACTCAGGGTTACTGCTACCTTAAGAGGGATGAGGCCCACACAATCCGACCAGTGGCTAACGTGTCAAATCCCTTATACAGTAGTCATTATCGTATCCATAGGTTGTTGACTGATTCGATCACTATTCGCTGTCCGGCACAAAAAGGCTTCATTGCAATTGAGCTTTGCGTGGGAAGCTGACGTAGATACGTATAGATTTGACACTATGACTACTAGTTGGATTGCCACACACCGTAGGGGATAAACCTGAGTGCAATCTTTATGATCGTCTCAATTAGCCAAGAACAATATGCAACTCTTGGTTATTGAATCTATTCGACAATATGGAACCGGTGCTACCCGCTACTGCATTCAACAACTCAGAACTCAATGTACCTTAGTCATACGGACGATCATAAAGATTGCACTCAGGTTTTCTTCCGTAAGGGGGATGAGGCCCACGCAATCCGACCAGTGGCTAACGTGTCAAATCCCTTATACAGTAGTCATTATCGTATCCATAGGTTGTTGACTGATTCGATCACTATTCGCTGTCCGGCACAAAAAGGCTTCATTGCAATTGAGCTTTGCGTGGGAAGCTGACGTAGATACGTATAGATTTGACACTATGACTACTAGTTGGATTGCCACACACCGTAGGGGATAAACCTGAGTGCAATCTTTATGATCGTTCCAATTTGACGTCCATATTGTCGATTATGGTTACTTGGAATTGCTGTCCTTAACATTTGATTGTATTGTAGTGGCCACCTGTCTTCTGTAGCCACAGATGCTAGGGTAGCTAACGTTACAGCCATTGATTGTTATAAAATAAGAATTTGTATGTAGGCAATAGACAGAGTGGCTATAGTGTGTATGCATGCACATTACCTTTAGGCTTGCTGTCCTTACCATTGAATCAGCCAGGTGCAATCACTACGAGATCGTATTGTATTTGACACCTGCAATTTGGGGAGTAGTATTAGTCGCTACTGTAATCAACAATACAGAACCCACTACACCTTTGTCATTCGGACGATCATAAAGATTGCACTCACGTTTACTTCCTTGGCAGGAGGAGGGGGGGAAGGGCCCCACGCATCCCAACAGTGGCGAACGTGCAAATCCCTGCACATAATATTATTAAAGCATTTTTCGCAGAATGCTGTCTCATCCTAGCACAATGTGTTGTCGGGCACAAAAAGGCATCAGTGCAATTGAGCTTTGGTGAGACTCTGACGGTAGATTTGCTATGTGGAATTTTCGCATAGATGAGCATTCGTGCTGAAGCCAGATACATGGCTACGACAATGAGTGGTCCTAGTGTCTTGCATATAGACAACGATCAACGTCTGTACTATTGATTTTCCGAGAAGCTATAGAATTCGCCGTGAGTTGTTGGAGTCCGTTTTGCGAATTGGTTTCAGAGTTTGATCATTATCCAATTTGCCTTCAAACATTCAAGTCAACCACTAATCCACTACGATGAAACTCTCTATTGTTGCTTCTGCTCTCACCGCTGCTCTCGTCACTGAAACCGCCGTTGGTTTGCTTGGTCTCGATATTTACTTAGGTATTTCACATGACGATTACCTTTGTTCGCATCCCAATTTCGTTATTCCTGGCTACCAAATGTGTAGCAACTATCAGAGTACACTGAAGTTGAGTCTTACCAGATCAATAACAACTTTTATGTGTCGGAAAACAGAAACAAGTTTTACTCAGTGCTCAACCCTTATTTCACAGAATAACGGTGTATCGTGGAGTTCTTACATGAATTACCTGGAACTTTCTGATGTCCAGGGTATCATTTCGTTCCCAAACATACAAATGAAGATCGATGCCGTTCTGATTAATACCATCTCAACCATAAATACTGAAATGGTTTGGGATTTTTGCTTCCGAGTCTTCGTTTACTGCGAATGTCGTATACTGCCTTTCCCTATTCAATGGTTCCTTCAACGTTGAACTTAATGTATGGCTAAGTGCCCGCGGGATGAAAGCTCCAGGAAATTTCTGGAAGAACGTAACGATCCTAGAGACTGAGTATGAAGTGTACGTGCTATCTTCGCCGAACAAGCTTATGGTTGTCACCTACGTTATGGTGGGCGTGTCTGTGACCAGTTACCAAGGTGACTTGAAACCTTTCGTGGACAACTGTTTGGTTGACGATCACTCCTATCACGGACTATCAACTTGTTTCTATTGTTGCGGGCACTCAAGTGATGATGGTCAAACAGGCTACCTTCTCTATGACGAAATTCGAGGCTAAGCTTGCGTTTTTTGAATAACCGTAGTGCTCTGTCATGAATGTGAGCTCAATGTGCGATTCCTGGAATATTTCTAGTAGTTGCCATTGTCGTGTACAGCACGTCTGCTTCATCACCATTTTTCATTGTCTATCAGAAAGTAAGAATTGCACTCTCCATGTCTTAGCAATAAGTTAATAGAGCTTGTCTTTATCTTCAAAACGAGTTCTATCACGTGTCCATATGTGCAAGACGTGCTTTCTTGTAAAAACCTTTGCATTTTCATGCTCTGACTCCTTTCTTATCACTTTAGAGTCAAGGAATGGGGACTTGATATATAACCTTCGTTACCAGGCCTGACTATCTCCTGACATTTGGTAGAGTCGCTAATATCGGTGTCAAAGTAAAAGAGAGGGAGGGAGGGAGATATACCCTCCGCATCGCGCGGTCTACAGGTGGCGGCGCAACGTAGGGGACCCTAAGGTAGCAGGCAATCCGCAGCTTATCTTGCGAAGAAAGACGAGTCAATTACAGGTTGATCGTCTGTTGCTCGAAACTAGTTCCTACCCTTCTGAATAAGCCTAAAGTCCCTATCCCTTTTGCTTAACGCGAACTCCAGTGTTACGAAGCGAACTTCCACTAGAACATGCTACCTTCGTTGAGATCAGTACTGGTTTGTTGATGCAGGGTCCGAACCAAGCAGATATTGTTCGTCCATGGTGTTGTCTAGCATGTCTGCGCCAGATCCACTTCACGCGTTTGAATCGGAGAGCTGAGCAAGTCAAGCGCGTGGAATGGTCCCGGACTTCTGTCGTGTTGACTCGTTGGGGTCTGTCCGCAGTGGATTGTCATTTCTTCCTGGCGCCCTGCCCGTGAACCTCTCCAAATGTGTGAGCAGTCTAGCCATGTAGCCTGAGTGCCATCCGTGAAGCTAATCCCGGACTTGATTAACGAGGTCCACGTGCCCCCCCCCTCCCGCAATGTCTGACGTTATTGAGCGCGCAGAATGAGACAGCGAAGACAGCCACGGTTCTACATGGTAGAACACTTTGCTCGAGGTTATGCGCGTACATGACGCTAAGCACAAAGAGACTATCTAGACCATCATCATTATCTTCGTGCATCCACTACAAGCGGATTCGATTTGCTTAAAGAGAGCATTACCAGTTCAAGACACAAAAAAACAGTCATTATGGTCGTTTGAATTCCATGGCCAATTCGCATCCTCCCGACTTTGCTAGATACACTAACAGCCTGAAGAAGCTCAGTACGTGAAGACACGTCAAGTCTACCCGCAACTTTCGTCACCTGTCTATCCGGGTAAGACTCTTCTCTCACAGTCTACAATCTATGCACAGAGAACTAGTAGCGAACTTACGACCACGAGATGCGAGAATAAGTACATACACGATTGATGCACAAGCAGGGAAGTCGTAAGTTTAAAGTTCCTTGTGGCCAAACTCAAGCTGTAATTACAATAGACGTCTTTTCAAAACAAAGCCTCTTTTGCCTCTCTCTAGCCACGACTTAGCCAAAAATGGAGTGATTTGGCGTCTCAACGTACACCCAAATGCACAGGATAATGAGCACAAACGCAAGCGAAAAGCTACCGACCATATTCCCCTGGTCCGTCATACTCTTGTGACTCCAGCCAAAATACGTCTGCACACTCATACGCACCATGGGACCCAGTTGACTAGCCAAAAAGCCACCCAAAAAGAGCGACGCAAAGTAGAGCGGAGTGCCGTGAGTTGTAGCCGCGTTATTGTAACCCGCAAAGTAGCGCACCGTATCCCACATCATCCCAAAGACCATCGACATAAACACCAGTAGGTTCGGCAGCTCCATGATACTGTTGCCGCCAATAGCGCCCGTATTAGCCCATGTGGCCTCTTTACCCGTAAATTTCCAGTAAAAAGTTTCAAAAACAGCCATAACATGTACAAACGCGTACGAGAACCACGTTTGCTGACTACGCAGTACATCGTCATTGTCAACCGTTCGATTCGATAGAGCCGAAAGAATACTCTGCGCCACAATTTTAGGAACAAGAGCCATAAGCAAACGCAGCCCAGACGTATATATCGGAGCTTGGCCAGTGTACAGAAAGTAGGCCGTGATGTAAAAGAAGAAGATAGCCGGGAACGAACCGATTGGATACACGGTCAGGTTCATAAAGAACACCCAGCGCATAAACTTATTGATCTTGCGCTTCGGTGGCAGCTCAACTTGTGGTGGCGTCCACTCTGGATCCACCAAACTTTTCTTATTGCGCAAAAAAATCTGGAAGTTGCCTTTTGCCCAACGCTTACGTTGGGCTAAGGCAGCAGCGACAGACTCGGGCACAGCACCTTCTGCAAGACGAATACGGTCAGCCTCCTCACCTTCAAGATCCTTGCGGAAATAGTAACCTTTCCATCCCTTATCTACCATCATCTTGCCCGTGTAAGCATCTTCAGTCAGTGATCCGTACTGGATACCACAAACTGAATCCAGAGCTTCACGGCGGAAGATAGCATTCGTCCCAGCAAATGAAGCACAGTCGTATCCATCCATACCAGTCTGCGCTGAATCAAAGAACGTCGAGTTACGGTGACCGCACGGGTCACCAAGGCGCAGCTGCAGACAGTCCTCAAAGTACTGAGGTGTCTGCACATAGCCAACCTGGTTCACCGAAACATGGTCCGAGTAATCATCGGCCGAAATACCCACAAACTGGTTGCTATTACGTCGGCTCACAGCACGGTTGCACTTGCGGCACAATCCCTTTGCTTGATTGATCTTGCTACCACAGCTGGCGCACATCATGCGCTCCGACATGGTGTTTTGTGTCTGGCGGCGGTGAATACTCGACTTCACGTGCCCTGATGCGTTGTAGCAGTCCTTTGAGCAGTACATGATCTGGGCCTCTGGCACTCCGGCTGCTTGACATAGAGCACAACAGATCTTACCGATATCACCACAGCCAGGAGCGCAGCAGCGCGTAATCTTCGAGTTCTGCGGTGCGTCAAAGAAGAATGGAAGTGTAGCTTGAATAAACATCTCGTGGGGCTTCATGTCGTTATCGAGAATGATGGCATAGCGACCACATGCGCCTTCATTGTACAGCACATTGTTAATGTTGCCAGCCTTTGAGTGATGCACAAGCGGCTTAATGCGTCCCACAAACGTCAGCTTGGGCAGGCCGTGGTAGTGGTAATCGTCACGCACAGAGCCAACAGCGCAGTCGATGCGGTTGACGATGCGCGGATTTGCCTTTGTCGGCATCTTCACAGTAGTGTGTTCCTTGCGCCATTCGTCCACCTCCAATTCGTATAACTCGCACACGCGATCATACATGAACTGAGCCACCTCGTGACGAACATCACCAGCATCCTCAATTACACTAGTATTCACGCTAACCTTAGGAACTAGACTGCCAGTCTCCCATTTGGATTTGCAATAGCCGTCGTCACAGATCCAAACATGAAAAAGATGAGGTGGGTAGTCCAAATTCATAATCTTCTCCAGCGTCGCAATAGTGTCTTCTGCTGGCTCAGCGTAGTGACACAGCATAATGTCTACCGTCGGCCACTAACATTTACAATAAACAGTGTGAGAACTATCATCGGGTTTTTATAAACACAAAACAATAAGCAGTTTACCTTCTCTGGGGGAAAGTGCGGCTCAAAATCACGTAAATAGCGAGCACCACGACGTACAGGCTTCCACATGCCCAAATAATACAAGAAACCCAGCGAGATACTGATAAACTCGGACAAGTAGAAGAGAAAGTATGACACCCAGTCACCAATGCGTGGTTCCTTGAAACACCTTGCCGTATCAATGCCAGCCGACCAATGATACCATTGTGGGGGGTCCCAGACTCCGTTAAAGGGCTTGTCACCGCACTGCAACGTCTCAGCGTAAAGCAACTGGATTTCCTCACACGTCCCTGTTTTGTACTTGATATCGCATGGTTCGATACCTAGAGGGAACCATAGCACGATACCTGCGAGCTCAATGAGTGCCGTGATTACAAAAATGACGTACCAGAACCGATAACTGAATCGTCCCTTCATTTCGTACACGCGAACATTAGGCAGGTCACGCTTTACAACATTTCCAGACCCCGCCGACATGACGGTAAATTCAAGTGCATCGAACCACATAGTAAAGTCCTGGTCCGTCTCGGGACATACAAGCCATGCACGATGACGCGTGTGTATGACAATACCTCTTGCCGGTAAATCAAGGCGTTCACTTTGTTCAAGCTTAAAAGCATCACGCAGGTCAACGGCACCCACGACCAGTTCATCATTGCGAGAATTAAAATACTTTCGACAGTCGACATCATTATGAAAGTAATACATCTTAGCACCTTCAAGGGCAAAATAACGCTTTCGCCAGCTCTTGGCCACAGGACCTTTAAACTTACGACTTCCCTGTTTGTGCATCCAACCATGGACTGAAATTTTGCCTACATTCTCGCGCCCCGTAGGTTTCGTAAGTTCACTAATGGCTTTCTGTGCATCCATGGTAGACTGTGAGAGAAGATTCTTACTCGGAGAGACAGGTGACAAAAGTTGCTGGTGATATTTCACGTCAGAAAGAGGCGTCTTGTCGTATTGAGCGTCTTCCGGTAGTGTATCAAGATCAGGGGGATGACGATTGGCCATGGAATGCAACTACTCGGTTCTTTGTCTCGTAAAACTAGGTGATGCTCTCTTGAAGCAAATCGAATCAGCTGGTTAATAAATCCACAAAGAAGAACGAAGCTTGATTCGATATTCAAATAGGTTAATATTAACTAACTTGACCCTTACTTCCTTTGTATATTAAAGACAATATGAGGCACGAACAAAACTGATGGAACTGGCTAACTGCGTGCCTAGTAGTTAAAGTGACGTCGTCGAGCTCTTGGAACTTGCTCTATGCTCTGGCTACTGTAGACTAAGAAATTGTATGGATCAATCAAATGGCTACAGCGTCGTACGATCTGACTACTCGATAGGTTGACAAACGTCAGTGTGATAATGACGGGACTGATTTGTTTCTCCCGCGTTACGATAGCACACGTTGATTCGAATAGTATCGAATGTCACAGGTACATAAATCTCGTGGTATAGTATCATGTATACTAGAGTACTAAATTAGTATGTTTACAAATAAGATAGTACAGGGTATTGTTTGTAACGGTAAAGTGACATGTATGACAAAGGGCAAGGGGAGAATGTGAATATAATGGATTGTGTCATTCATGAATGAAGAAACTGGCTTGATAGTAACTTATGTATGCCAATGACAAGGCTAATCTCTCCACTAGATTGTATGCTATCTGGCACACTTTTCTTGCAACAGCAAGTTACTGTGAAGGGAAGTGCATTCTGCATACTATCGTTGACCATCGTCTTAAGATATGAAAAAAAAGGCGAAGAGAAGAGATTTCTAGAAACTACATTGCGTGGAACGGCTATTTGAAGCACTTTACCTCTATAAATTAATGTCTAGTTACAAAAGTAGATGTGATAGTGTTAGACCTGAGGAGCAAAGAATTGATATAGATATGGACTTTTACATCGATAGCGTTGGTCATGTGGCATCATTTGCATCCATTCTTGATAACTTGAAATTCAAATAGCTCTTGTGTCACCTTGTGTAGTCTTCTTTTGTGTCGATTGAGGGACACAACGGTTTTATTAGACAGTCAGGTGACCTAGTTCTTGTGTTACTATCCACTTGTTGTCATGTTCTTGCGCTTTTCTTGGTGTGAATGGATGTACAATTGTTGCAATGATTTGATTGCATCGAAGAAAGGTCTGCAGGTTGTTGAATGCTTGCACCAGAATGGAAGGGTAGATTAGCTTGGAATGGACATTTTTAGGTTGTACAACTTCGTAGACAAGCTCGAAACGAAGATGGACTTACTGGAAAATGAAGTGCTGATTGGAAGCATGGAATATTGTGCGATACTTACAGCTTTAAACAATGTATACGGAGCACGGTGGTTTACATAGTTACAAATGTGTTGGGGAGATTGTAACTTGGTGTTTGTCTTAGACGATTGAAGGTGTGATGGATTGTGTGCTAAAGTTTTTGAAAGCATACGCTTGAGCTGAGCTGTATTTATATTTGAGTAAGTAAGTAACTAAGGCCAAGATTGAGATTGTACTATGACGAGAATGCAATCTTTATACGGGCTTGAGATCACGATCGAGAACTGCAATGTAGAATAAACATTATGAAGGCTACAAGTGTATGATCATATATAAGTACCTCTTTGTGAGATTATATCGTATTTATTGGACTAACAATTACAAGGACGGTGGCGATGTCTTTAACTTATGGACTGGATTGTAAGCATACACTGTCAATGTTTGATAAGCAAAATGAGATCATAGCTGTCATGTATCTATAGCTTTTAATAGCACAAGGCCATTCATTACTGCAATTACGTAATGGCGTGACGAGTACCAATCAAATCAACCATTGGACCTGTATAGTATACATGTCAAAAACTTTTTGTTGTGTATACTCAACCCAAATTTTTGAAATTTGTGAATAAAACGCCTCTTTTCGCCTGTTTACACTTCTCTCTGTGCGTCTATTGGCTTTTTTACTCCCAATTGCTTCATTATGCAACGGTTCAACGCAGATAAAGAGAACCGTGTGGCAAGTGCTACCACTAGTTACTCACAGCGTACACTGCACTCATCTCGTTATTTAAAACCTGGCACGATTACCACAGCAGGCGCGATGAAGCGACCACATAATCAAATCGACAGCACACGATACCCACGTAAAGCGGGTGGAGAACGAATGGCTCCATCTCGACGACCGCATGATGATGTAACTTTGTCTCAAATGAGCTCGTATGTCAGTGAATCTGGATCAACTTATTACAAGCCAACGACTAATTTGGTTAACAAGACCTCTGGACACGTAGCGAAGACTTTAATACTTCCAGACAGAAGTGACGTTACTACAAAGAAGAACGAGACAGTACATCATCATCATCATCATCTGGTAAAAAGACGTGGAAGTTAAGTGACTTTGATATTGGTAAACCACTGGGCAAAGGCAAATTTGGCAATGTATACTTAGCTCGGGAGAAACAGTCCAAGTATGTGGTGGCACTTAAAGTGTTAAACAAGCAGCAACTCATGAAGTCCAGCATGGAGCATCAGTTACGTCGCGAGATTGAAATCCAGTCACATTTGCGTCACAAATCAATACTGAGACTATATGGCTACTTTTACGATAGCAAAAGGGTCTATCTTATTATCGAGTACGCACCGCAGGGAGAGCTTTACAAGAAGCTTACGCGAGCTGGACGTTTCTCTGAGAAACAATCGGCCTTGTATATTCAGGAAATGGCACATGCCCTTATCTATATGCATAGCAAACACGTGATTCATCGCGACATTAAACCCGAGAATCTACTTGTTGGCTTTAATGGAGAGCTCAAGATTGCAGATTTTGGGTGGTCCGTACACGCGCCATCTTCAAGACGTACGACGCTTTGCGGCACTCTGGATTATCTTCCACCTGAGATGATTGAAAACAAACCCCACGACGAAAACGTGGACGTATGGACACTTGGTGTCCTCATGTACGAGTTCCTGACAGGTGCACCTCCTTTTGAGACTGAGAACACCAAGGAGACGTACCGCCGCATTGCACATGTGGACCTTAAGTTTCCGAGCTACATGTCCGCTGACGCTCGAGACCTATTAACAAAAATCCTGCGTCACGACCCGCAGCAACGCATGGCACTCGAGCGTGTATTGGAGCATCCATGGATCCTGGAGCATTGCAAAACGTCTAGCGCCTAGTGTACAGGTACAATGTGTAGTGAGTAGAATCTCTTTCCTTGGACATTCATTATATCAGTGTCAAAACGTAGTAAGAACGAGCTTAGCGCTATTACTCAATGTGTCATTTTTTCTGGATGTTTAACGGTCTCTGTCGTCTTCTCTTGGACCTCACCCGTTTCCTGATGACGATAGACGTCTGCAATCCTTTGATAACTCTTCGGTAGCTCAAATTGCTGGACAAATCCTTCAACCTATAGCACAATATGATGACTTAGATACAATAGAATAAACATCTTTGTATATTGTAATGATAGGATCTCGTAACCTGCTCATCAAACGTCTGCTTTTGTCTTCCAACAGTATTTTGAAACGATTCAAAGACGTTCGATCGGTGTGCATCATTCTCCGTAGATTGAAGCATCTCTTGCTTAAGTTGACGGAGTTTTATGATCTTTTCTTGGACCTCATTATGGGCCATACGACTACGCTGGTATGTAGTGTAGTTTGTCTCTTGAATGATATACATGGAGTCTTGAAGAATCTCGCGCAGCATACGTGATGTTTGACCACCCATGAGAAGGTGTTTTTGAATAGAGATTGTGGAAATGAGATGAATGCAAATGATTACTACATGAGTGATGTGGTGTACATATATTAAACCAAAGTGTGACGAATTGCCTCTAAAGTAACTCAAATGTCGGCCTATCTGCAGGAAATGATGAATCGTACGAGTCATGAATGAAGATTTTATATGAAAAGAAGTTTAGTCGATCGACAAAGACGACGATATACATGCTAATAAGGTTGTTTGTTATGTTTTGTTTCTTCTTTATTCGATTTCGTACGTAGAAACGATTTCTGTCATTACAAATGACGGCCGGAACATTATTGTACGTTGCAATTTGTGCTGTTACTTAATAGTTACTTACAAACATGTTTTGGCATGGATAAAGATTAATATTGGATACATTATATAAATGACTTAGGGTGTACTTAAAGGATTCGATCAGTGTGTCAACGTGGTCTTAAATGATAGTTTTGAGCGCGTTTTCTCACTAAAAGAACCGGTAGAGGCCGTGGAATTGGGACTTTATATTGTTCGTGGTGATAACATGTACGTATTGCTGTGCTAATAGCTTTACAAGGTTGTATCAAGACTTGTTCATGAACTCATACCAAGGACATTGGTACCGTTAACTCTGCAGTTCCGTGATTGGCAGCGTACCGGACAACATTCGAGAGCAAGTGATTGATGATCAGACACGTGCAGCGCCCTTAAAGCCATTGTTACATTAACATTTACAGTAATTTACTCGGCCATTGCATGTTTCTGTGTTGTACGATCATGAGTTTTTTTGCTCTAATGTAACTTTAATAACTTGATGATACTATGGGTTCCATAGCGTGATGAAGCATAATCACACTGAAGTAAGAGTGAAAGCCAAATGGCTACTTTTTTGGAAGCAATAATATGATTAACAAGAGGTCTTTTTTTCCTTGATAAAAAATCGCATTAAATAGGTAAAAATGACACTAGCAACCTAATAATCTCCTAGATTAAGAGATGTGAACCTCAAATTTCGGTCCAGTCTAAAATCTAGTTTCATCTAAATTTTTGAGTTTAGATAAAATCCACCGGATATCAATATCATAATCATACCATGCACAAACTGATAATATCTCGTCGTCTGAGCATTCTTCGTAGCAATTTTACCGCTTCTGTACAGCCTAATTGGCTAGAAAAAAACTGTGGTGATGTACCTGTGCATCCACAGCCTCAAGACTTGAAAGCCAGTGAAATGTTGCGTGGTGGTCACGTCCTACAGGTCGCGAGCGCAAAGATGCTGGAAGCAACGGTTAATTAATTTAAGTACACTGTGAACGTTAATTTAACAATTATATTAATTATGACAATTTCATGTTTATAATGTCAATCAATCATTGGATAAATTTAGGTGAATTTTAATCCAATCAGGGCTTTTTCCAGTACGCATACGAAAAAATTGAAGGTCTGGAGTGAAAGAAAATACAAGACAATAATTAATTGTTTTATGGAACTTTAATTTGTAATAATTGTCAATGTTATATTAATTTATTAATGATTGATTTATAATTTCCATTATTTCTATTGCAGCAATTGTATCAAGCTGAAAACAAGGCAGTACAACGTCTTGAAGACGCTGTCAAAATAAATTCCATTCGATTTCGTCCAAGTTTAATGATTCCAGCTCTTGAGCTTAGCAGTTTTATTGTTGGTGAGGGTCTTTTTTGTTGTGGTTTGTTTGAGTTCTGACTGACTGATGAAAGAATTGTCTAGAAATTGAAATTAATTTGTATTATTATTTTAATTTTTTGTGAATGTTTATTTGCTATAGGTAGTGTGCTAAGCACCTTGGGGGATAAAATCAGTACGTCGTATGTGACGGGAGTAAAGACGGCAGTGAGTGACTACTACAATGATCAAATTCGTGAAATTTATGCCACTTCATCTGATATGGACCAACTTAAAGAGGTGAACAAATAAATACATTGTCGAAATGCTGGATTTCAAACGAGTGTTGGATGCTGGTTTACTAATCAACTATTGTTGTCACGGGGTTGTGAAAGTTATTCAAGGTCGCGCGTGATGAGGAGCAAGAGATTAGTGACATTCACACGCCTGATATGGCAAACCCAAATGACGGTATCTCAGACCCTATCGCGACGGTTGCAAAGGCTTCTGTGAAAGTATTGGTTCAAGTCGCTAAATTTGTGTAAGAAGTGTGATTGATATGAGCACCCGTTCCCGTATCGATTGAACTAATTCAACACAGCTGACATTTGTGAGGGTTTCTCTTGGTACCTTTATCGATAAGAATGATCTTATCTTTTCTAGCTAGGTGATCTTCATTTTGTAGACTCAAACGGTAGAACGTTTTGCTCATCAGCACGCCAGCATCGCACGTATTGGAATCGTACGAAATGAGCTTGTGCTTATGACGCAACGTTAGGTACGTCAGTACTTTCGGTCGAGATACTCTTCATATCGGTTGCGATGTCTTTCTTAAAGCGTTGGAAAATGCTTGTACATGTATCCATTGTCCCTCTCACACAGCCCCAATTCCACTGAAGCATCTTTTTGTTTTTCCGAGCCTCTACGTCGTTGGTGCGTTAGCAGAAGTTTCATCGAAGCATCTTTGAATGCGTCAAAGATCTATCCCATGCTTGGGCTTAAAGATGAGCGAACCGATGCAGAAAATGGCGTCACGATAAAGCAAAGGTACTTTTAAGTATCCGTTATTGCCCTTCAAACGGGGCCTTATAGTTTCTATAGGAATGTAAAAGGACGTGAATACGACTACAACCGCTGAAGCCCCCGCTGTTTGTTTAAACGCCGGTTCGTGGTTCTTGACGTGGCTTCGCTACTCCAATACTTGCGTTTGACACGGTCAACGGTTCGCGTCGAATAGAGCTCGAAGAAGGTCGAAGCTGTGTCAGCAATACAGGAATATGCAGGACTGTCAATATCACGTGTGTAGATAAAAATGCGAAAACAAAACGGAAACGTCTGGGCTGGGGCTGAGCGTGTCGCCTTCCGCTTCTTTTTCAACATAGGCTGTACCTTCCATACATCGGGCAAGAAGAACCAAGTGCTTCGGATAAAGCGGTTCTGCGCATGACCCGTTTTCAATTTAGGTGAGTTAAAAGCTTCCTTTGGTGGGTCACGAGGTGATTCTGGGAGCAATACACGTCGCTCTTCCATTTCCACGGCCTGGAAACAAGTAAGTTGGAACTGTTCAAAAGCTGCAGCATTTGGGAATGACGGAGGTACATTCAGCTCCTCCAAGAGATTTGTAGATTCTTGTTGGGGTACCCGCTCAAAACGACCAAGTACAAATATCTCACGCGCACAACTACTACCACAAGGAAGACCAAGACCACTTTCACGTTTCATCTGCTGCGAAGATGTCGGCGGCAAGAATTTAGATGCATTCGTGAATGCGTGACAATACACGGGCCCTCGGCACACGCCAACACTCGAATGCTTACGATTATTCATCTTCATAGAGTAGAAATCGTGGTGCTCGGGGCATGACGGAAAACACTGCAGGTTTTTTCGTCCATTCTTCCAGTAACAGTTGTTCAAAGCTGTCAGTAGCTGGAGTTTTGCAGACTCGTTTGGAGCCACAGGATTCATAGCTGGAAGGATCATTACGTCTGCAGGCATTGAGCTGTCTGCTCCTAGCACGGCGCCTGAAGGGTTCATGCGAACGTCATGTTGGTTGAGAGTTGGCGTATGTAGTAGGCGTTTTATCGTGTTTCCTTCTTCAGCACCACGCAGCGATTCAGATGCACATGATCGCTGAATTTTGTGATCATTTTCGTCGATGTGGACTTCCAAACGCTCAATTTCGCCACTGGGGGTCGTGCAAGCTGTTGAGTGGGTCGATTGGCGATGGACATGATTCGTCGTCCAGTCACCGGTTGTGGAAAATATCTCTTCGTGATTCTGAATTGGTCGATAGAGGGGAGATGCTGATGATACGGTTGTAAGCAGTGGGTGGCGTTGGTACGATGGTACGTAGGTGAGGTGTGAAGGAGGTATCGCGTGGTTTGTCTCATTGAATGTGTCCTCAAAGTAGGGGTATCCGTTTAACGCAGTTTTGTTCAATGATGCACTAAAGAAGGGCTGTTGTTGATAGTGCTGGTTGTCGCTAACGTCTGTAGCAGCCCCAGTCCAAGTGTTTATGTCTTCAAAAAGTAGCTCTGACGGCTCGAGATTGTGCGAAAGCCACGGAGCAACACTTTCCATTTGTACCGGAGAGGCAGCATCAGATGAGCATGATATAATGTCGCCAGGTAGTTTTCCAGTAGTGATCGGATAGCCTGTACCTTCTGAATGGAAGCTCGGAGAGCAAGTGTTGGCTCTGAATGCAGTACTGTTTTCCGTCGTTGCTGTACTCAACGCCTGCGCACGACAAGTAAGTCCCCCAAATGCCGGTAAGGAACACGTATTGCCAGGCCCAGATTCTGTCTTACCGCTCATGAACCAACTGGTGCCTGGATATGGCATTGAAATGACTGGTAAATCGTGATCTCCGTTCTCCAATGCAAGGTTGTTCATTGGCTCGTTGAGGTGGTTGAGGGGAGAAGATGAAGTTGAAGACGCTAGTGACATCCCTCCATTTGCGTAGTCTCTTTCCAAGTATGTCTCGTCGAAAGAGTTTGATGAGATCATGTTCCAATATGCATGATGATAAACTTCACTTCCATTACAGCTGCCAGGAACAACCAACGGACCACTTGACTCACAACCTTGAAATCCTGACGACAAAGGTGTAGTATCATTGTCACTTCTCTGAAGCGCCGACGACAAAGAAGCTGAGGATCCGCTGGATGCACTTGAGTTCTGTAGACCTTCTAGACGAAAGTCTTCACGCTGGACTCTTGGCCACCTGCCATCACCTGAAACCGAGCACCGAAGTTTTAAATTTGCGTTGTTGTCTTCGCTTTTGTCGCCAAGCCCCATCGTATTGTCTAAAGAATGACCACCGAACACACGAAGCTGGAGCGTCGATGAGAAAGTCATTCAGCTATGTTCACAGGTGTATGACAACTATAATGGTCTTTTCTCAGGACGTCCCCGTATGCTGTTCAAGAGAGTAACGAAGTGACTTCCAGCCGCTGCGAAACTTCATAAATGTGGTCAAAATTGGGATCGAGCATGCTAAATCGGGTGGCTCTCTCTTGCCTTAGTACGCGAGCGGGCGATGCTTAATGTTCTGTATTTTTCCTTCTGGTTTGGGCATTTGACTTACTTTCCTGGCGACGGCGATGACGTATACTTGGACGGGTTTTGTTAAAGCTACCAAGATGTAATTTCATGTGAACAAGTGAACACTGGGCTCTTAAAACTACGCGACATGCTGAGTGATCGATTGTCGAGTCTCTGACGAACTACGGGACCAGGATGACTCGGTTGAGCATCCCGCCCCATACGAGACGCGGTCTATATCGAACAACAAAATGCGTGGCAGCTGGACGGCGCTAAGATGTTGCAGTACGAGTTGACCATCGAAATAAATCGTGATACTGATAACGAGAATTTGCCGTTCTCTAACCGTAGTCGCGAGCTGAGTGGATTGTGCTATACACGCAACTTTGACGCGACAAACATGTGGTCAGATGGTCGAAGTAGTCTGATTTGCAGCAAAAAAACTGCATAAAAGTATTGCAGCTTGATCTTTGCTAACGTGCGCGTTATCAGTTGGTTGAAACGGGAATTGACGCGCATTGGCCTGAGCTATGCAGCTGAGACCTGACTCATGGGACGGGACTTGAAGCTTGGTAAACTTGTGGTAGTTTGAGACGTGACGCGAACCCAGCACTCCTGACTGGGCAGTATATCTGGAAAGAATCTTACAGCAATTTATCGTCGGCCAAGCTGTTTTCAAACAGATTCACAGGTATTTGTTGTTCGTCTCGAATTCTCTCTCTTGCTGATCGTGCCAAGCAAAACCTGATGTCAAGTCCATTGTGATCAAGTCAAATGATGTTGTTTGTCGTATTTTGGTGGAGATATTTGCCTCTTCCACAAGACGTCAATGCGTTCAAGGGTCGCAACACTTTAGACCTCGTGTCTAGTTTTGTTGTTGACTGCACAAAGCTTGGATTGACGTGATACGGGGTCGTTCATGTTTGTTAAGATATCGTCAATCATCACATCTTAATTGATAAAACACCATGAGTCACAACAAGAGTGGCAAAGAGCTTCAGTGTATGAATACCAACAAAAAAGCTCCAGTGATCGATCATGTAACTCCATGAACAAGTGGTTGACTTTATTTTGAATGTCCTCAACAGTCAAAAGGAGTGGTCGGAACATGACAGATCAATTCATTGAAGCGAAAAGTAAATCATTATACCAGAAAGTGTCCTTGTAAATTGTAACAAACTGTTGATTGAGCGCACAAGACGTCTAGATATTATGCCAAATTGTAAATCACCATGACATCACCTTTACAGGATGCAATCAATTTGTGGTAGAATACAGCAGCACTTTTGCGTCCAGCTATCGTGAGAACAACAAGTAGCATCCTACTGTAGATGTTGACGTACTGGAAAACAACAAGACACATTTCTTCTTCTGCTTTTTGCTCTGTAAATTGAGAAAGGAGCCAATAAGCTTAGCTTTTTACACACTTGAGCATACCGTTGATCGTTCTTACAGCATTACATGTAGTAGCTGAAATGGCATTGACTCAATAATCACATTTTGTCCGTATATCCACTGGAAGTCAGCAGGTCGCAAAGGTACCGGCGTGTCTTGGTGCCAAGACGACGCTGACTTTTCCCATACTGCACGTGTTCAACTTCACTGTCTGGGCCACGTTTACGCAAAGCATCTTCCAACTCGCGAAAGTTTTGGTACTTTGCTGAAAGACCGACAGTCTTTGCAGCGCTTAGCCCGGGTGCTTGCAGGAGCATTTGCTGAAAGATTTCGCGCACGGTGAACTGGTTTTTTCTCCGAAACTGGGTGTTAAATGATATGTAGGTCTGAGGAGGCAGACAAAAGATTCGTGCAAACTCATCCATGTTAGACCCACTTCGAGACAAAAGGTGCGAGCTAGCAATCTTGGCACTCCTCGACTTCGAAGGGAATTTTGACAGTAGACGTGCGTGTACGCGAGCAAGGAACGTCACGGTTTCATCCGTGTTCTGGCACTGCTGGACGTAAAAGTTGTCTTGGACCTGGATACGACCCATTGCCGTGTTTAGACCACTCGTTCGTACGGTCGTCATCTGTGTCAAAGAGCCTTCAATAAGATATATAACATGCATGTCACCGCAGTTCTCGCGCACGGTTGCTAAGCGTGTTTTTTGCTCAAAGAAGCGACGGTCAACGATACTGCCCGACAAATCGTGAACTTCCTTCCGCTCAACAATGACGTTCATCATAAATTCCTCTGTTTCTCCGTCAATGCGATATCGTCGAGCTATCCATTGAACATCACCCACTGCAAGCGCACGCACCTCACAATTCACACTTTGCTCCAGTAACTTTCGTTCTATAATACGCGGGTTGCGTCGCTCAATGATCTCACGGTGATCCAACAGCAGCACCAATTCCCACGAATCTCTTTCTCGAATCAAATCTGTTGCAAAAACAGCAGCATCCTTCCTATTGACTTCCGTTTCTGGTTCTGGTTCCAGCATTCCATTCTCCAGAACCTCATTATCGTCCGAGTCGTTGACAACAATGCACGTCCTTTCAGGATTGGACAAACATTGTCGAGTAATTAATTCACTTGTCAAACTCGATGGTTTCGAGCTCTTGCCTGACGTTGACTTGAAAACATCAATAGCAGGAGATGCAACAGGATTTGGCCATGATTTCGACAGTGATCCTGGACACAATTTGGCACTAATTTGACCCTTTTTCGTCAAATAGTAATCACCTGTATCTGATCTGTCCACGAGGTTGTATGTTGTTCCACTAAGAGATGATAGACACGTCCGTAATTTGCTCCAATTCCCTGTATACTAGATAGAGGCATTAGTATACATCCATTTATGTCTATCATCCTGTCATTACTCGAAAACAAACAATTACCCCAGCCAGTACTATTCTCTGTAGTAATACTTTACTTGATACTGCACTGTCTTGATTCATTGCTTGAGCTTCTTGTAGTGCTAATAGGATATACCATGGCTCTGGAATAGGGTCAAGAGGAGTGCGTATAAAGTCAGTATTCTCATATAGAGTACCCTATTATAACGTCAACCGGATCAATCCCTTACGTTTACGATAAGCTGGGATATAATCTCTAATGGATCGTTTGAGCGTCTTTAACGCATGATTACGGATCGATCTCTTCTCTTCATCATGTGATACAGTCGTAAGAAGAGCTCTAGTACATGCTACGGGTTCTTTTAATACTAATAAACCTCTTTTAACTAAGATACTATGGATTTTATTTGCCAAATAATTGCCAATATTCTTGAGCTCCTTGGCTTCATTAACGCTCCGTAAAGGCGTTGGATGGGCACGGATGGATGCAATAGCGCGTTGATAACTCGATACTAAATGAGATGATTCACGAACACGCTGTTTAAGCACTAGAAGGTCCTCTATTAATGGATCATTACCTTCATGTAGACAGCCTTGGGTACTACTGCCGTGCGGCAGATTACTACTTTTCATGGATTATTATTCTTACTACTACTACTACTTTGTATTACTTTGTGTGTATTTTGTTTTGGTAGATTAGAATATAGTAGATATTATACAGATGATTAATTCTAATATTTTTAAGAAAGCCGAAAAGTACTTATTTATGTGAGGTCCTTGACAGATACAGATGGCGCACTTAATTGATTCTTTCTTGATTAAGTTGCCAATTTGCTCGCTTATATAAGAATAAAATAATATGGTACAACAATAATTAAGGTTAACATAGAACCACGAACTCAGTATACAAACCTGGAGCTCATTCCTTAAGTATACAGCCGACGTTTGTAAAACTAGCGAGAGATATGTCACCACCGGCCCAAGGAATTGTTAGCACAACATTCTTAGAGCCATGCAGATACTCTTGGTTGCATCAAAGCGGACATTGCAAATTCCACCGTTTGATCCTAGCCATCATGCATCAGTTTGATTGTAGATTAAGGGCTTCTACAATTTTGCTGCCAAGTTTTAAACTAACTCTAGCGAAAGGCTATTGTCTCATTCATTTGATCACTATTACGCCAGATGAGTCTTCATTGCCCGCTAAGTGCATGGCGGCAGATATTGACTTTCACTAACGCAGTCCTGACTACTTTTTTCACTATGCCGGTGGTAGGTGTTTGCCTCAATCATATAGTATTCGACAGCTTCTAGCATGCTTCTCTCTTGCATATGGGCTCTCTGCTTGAGTCACAACTGTCTATCAACTCAGAGGCACAGTTAATGGTGCCAAGTGCAACCAAGTCGTCAACTTCATCTCACTGAATTACTAATTGACACAGCACTGACCAAAGAGGTTGACCATTTTGGTGCAGTGGTATGACAATACTTATTACATGTCAAATGACAGAGCAGTCAGAAGTGCATAATGCCATAGTCCGCTTTGCGTAAATCATTTCGTTTGGTACAGGAATCATGACGCTAAAACCGTCTTGCGTGAGTCTGGTAGGCACAGTCCAGCTTGCAGTACATGTCTTCGTAACTTAAAGTAGCAATGGGAAGTTGTGCGGTAGGGTGAAAGTCATAGCGGCGTATAGCATCGAAAGTCTTCCACACCTCGTACACCTTCCCATGAGTACTGCATTGTGAGCCGAACTTGATGCTACTGCGATGTGTGGTCGAACTGTTGTCTCGTTCTTGTGTCATAGCAAGTTGGCAGTTCATCATCCGACATAAACCGCGATATTGTAAACCTTTGCCCATGTTGTGTTGCAAGCTTGTCGCCTACACGTTATTCACAGTTACTCGTCTTCACCACTGCATCGTTACTACGATTGAATGACTCGAAATTTAGTTGGCTTTACCAGTGTCTGCAGGTCTGAACTACTCTGCACGCTCATTTATTTCCATGACACTCCTAACTCCATGTGCACAGGCCGGTATAAGGCGCTCCGCATAGACACTGTGATTGAACACACGCCCAAAAATCACACACTGTCACTTCCAATTACCGAATCCTCGTAGTTGTCCTTAAGGTTATTGAACGCGACTAGCAACGGAAAGGTAGGGAACGACATCAGTGTTGTATTGCCATCGGATCTGTAGTGCTGGCTGTATCACATTGCAAGGCATAACAGTAGAAATCATCTCGATACGAGGTATATAGATAGTTTGTGTTGACATTAGTGTGATGCAAGTGATGGTCTCGTTGGTTCGTTTATAAAGCTATAAGCAAGAATGTCTTAAGTATTCTGTAATGAAACAGTTTGATCATGTCCTTTATTATAGAACGTTAGTGAGTCAACCCATGGTCTATTGCTCCAGCCTGTTGCAATGCTGTCGGTGGTCGTCAACGGCCTTACTATGCCCCTGACGGGATTGCAATTGAAACACATGCAAGCTAGGTCGCTCGTGACCCACGCATGATGTAGCGAGCTCGACACTAACGCCACGACTGTATAGCCATGACATGTGAACTACGGCGCAAATGTGCAAGTCTAGTCAGCTACATTTAACAAAGGCAGCAAGTAATGTAGATGGTCGGTCAGACTGGTGAGACGATCATCCAGCTCCCATTCCTCAGCAAGTAATAACAACTTATGTGCTCGTGCAATTACGAGCCTGGTTGGCACCTTGATACAAACACCATGTACAGCGATCTTGCTTCGTCTGCTTCCAATGACGTTGGCGTGTAAGTGTTGCCTCTGAGTCCACCAGTCAGACCGTCTTGTCGTATCAAACCTTGCTGTATCATCATCACGGGTAGCATAGTTACCTAGCTCCTATGGTCTTGTGTCTCGTAATGTGTTGTCGTGCGAGGTACCGTAGATCTTACTATGCCTTGTAGTGTCAGCAATGCCAGAGTAAATGGGGTACCAGCAGCAGTGGTGTCATCTCACGCAGAGTAGTAAGGTCGAGCACATGTAGTGGTACCTTCAGCTTGCTCTCCTTACCTACGTAGCAAAGCATTACCTTGTGCAGGGCATCACATTGATCAAGGTAAAGGGCAAGGTAGAACATGGTAGTCATACGTTTTAGCTATTTCATCTAACACTCCGAGTTAACAATCTAAATGAAGATCCACAGCGGCTAGAGATACATACGCCACCAGTCTTCGCATGCAATGGGTAACCAATGTATGGAGGGTAGAAAAATAAGGCGTCAATATTATCTTACTGTCGCCATAAACCAACTCTCGGGCGTAGTAGACTTCTCAGTAGGTATATAATTTGCAACGTAGTCCAACACTACATCTCTAGCTGGACGCAATCCACTTAAATTGGCACTACAATTGGGCTCTTCTTGCCATGTACCCTTGCGAAATACGTCCTCAACAGCATCTCCACCGCCCAAAGTCCATTGAGTCTGTCTCCCATTGCTCTGCTTCATCACTAGAGTTAGACATGGTCGATCAATTACAGAAGAAACCTTGGTACTTATTATGATATAGAATCTTACTATTCTATCGAGATGACAAGATGGATTGCTGTCAGTCGCACTTGCGCATCATGTTCATTTCGATAAAAATGAAAGTTTAAACTGCGTGCAGGAGTGAATCGAAACAGCATTTTACATTACGTCCACCCAGAGCTGCATTTTCTCATTTACTGAAATACTCATCTGAACCATGCAGGAAGAAGTGAATTCAAACCCAGAGCGTTGCCAGCGTGTACCTCGGTAGATGGATGGTAGCTAAACGCTGGATGACAGCAAAGGTAGCGTTATGGGGCTTCTTAGTTATGGTATAGCACTTTATACAGAATACGGAATAGTTAGATGTATACCTCTGTGCTGTCGGCAAAAAAAGGCTGCAGTGCACTTGAGCTTTGCATGAAAAACTGATGCTGGGTTTTACCACGAGCAATTTTTCGCAATTCCCGCTCAAGAACGTGGGACACATCGTTGCGACGATTACATGGCTCTGCTTACGGACAATTTGACGTCAGCGCAATGAATAACGTCAATGTTTGTTATATTTTATGACTGCAGTATTTGACGATTTAGTTTGAGTTAGGTCGGCTAAGTTTTTCTGTAATTCTCATTTTCCAACTTGCTTTCAAACCCTCAGTACCGTCCACGACTATGAAACTCTTAAGTGCTGCTGCCCTCACTGCTTGTTTATCCACTGCTCTCACCACTGTGGTTACCGCTACTTCCATGGCCGATTCTAAATCTGAAAAATAAAAAGGTATGCGCTGAATCTGATTACTTTGACTTGGGCGACTACGTTGTCGGCCAGACTATTCTGTAGATGAAGAAAGGTTCGGTTAAACTTTGCACCTCCGTCAACGAAACAGCGACACAGAAGAACATGGTTTATTGGTCCACCACTTACAGCAGAGCTGATAACTCACCTTTCTACTACATAGGATATGTCGATGTCAAGTATGACAAAATGCCTCAACTTGGTCAAATCAAGTCACTTTCTACCGATATGGATTATAAGTTCACGTATAGTGATGACACTTCTGCTTTTGTCTACTACGACCTTGTCATTTTAAAACACGACACGAGCGAGAAGGCGTCGTATATCGTGAGGGTGTGGCTTGCTAAGCTAGGTGACGCTAAGTCTTCGTCCGATAATGATGCGAAACCGACACAAGTGACAATTTCCGATGTTGTTTATGATCTGTACACGGGACACAACGGCAATGCCCCTGAATACACTTTTGTGGTCACGATGAAGACTCATAACTTTCATGGTAATCTAATGGATTTTATCAACTACCTCACTAAGGCAAAGTCGCTTGACTCGTCACACTACCTGGCGACTAATCTGGCGGGCATACAAGTCTTTGACAGTACGCAAGGCACTACGACCATGTCCAATTTCTCGGCTTCTATCCAGCTTGCATAGCCAGTGCAAACAAACATGGGTCCTCTCATTTAATGTGAGCTGAACGTGCGATTATTGGAATAATCCAAGCAATGTGTGATGGTCATGTACAGTGCATGGCGCTTCATCACCATTTTCTTTCTCTCAGTCGAATAAGATAGAATAGCACTCTCCATGTCTTAGCGATAAGCAAATCGAGTTTGTCATTCTCCTTCAATTCGCTGTTGTGATGTGTCATGAATGCAAGTCGTTTACATTCATCTAATTCTTCTGTGCTTTCATACTTGATCGCTGTCTTTCTCACTTTAGAATTCACGGGTAAGGAGTACAAGCCACCTCAAAGACAAGTCCCGACTAGCCCCAACCTTTGGCAAAGTCGCTAATGCTAGTGTCAAGGCAAAAGGGAGAGAGATCTTCTCTCCGCCACGTGCAGTCCACAGGAGGCAGCATAACGTGCGACCCGTAAGGTGGCGAGGATGCGCAGGTCATCTCACGCGGAAAGGCGTGTCGACACAGCTTGATCGCCTTCTCCCACATCTCTAGTTCTAACCCTTCTGCATACGCCCAAAGTCGCCGTCCTGTTCGGTCCTAAATGCTGTCTGACAAGCTAGGCCCGCACTTGATCAACGCCTAACGACGTCCCCCTTTTCCTTGAAATTCTGACGTAACGAGCGCGCAGAGGGAGACGGCGAGGACGGACACGGTTCTACCATGGTAGAAGAACAAGGTCAGGTTCCACTCTCGTGTCATGTGCGTAGATGATTCTAATCAAATCGACTATCTGGACCATCTCGACCATCATCATCTTCGTGCATCCATTACAAGCTAATACGATCAGCTTCAAGAGCCCATGACCCAGTTTGAGACACAAAGAACAGGTCATATGGAGTCTATGGCCAATCGGCATTCTCCCGACCTTGATTACTCACCGCATGAAGAAGCTTAGTACGAGAAGACAGACACGTCTTCAGTCGTCAAGTACCACCCGCAACTTTTGTCACCTGTCTTCTCGGGTAAGAATCTTTTCTGACAGTCTACAATGGATGCTCAGAAAATCAGCAGCGAACTCACGAAACCCACAGGGCGCGAGAATGTGGGCAAGATCTCAGTGCAAGGTTGGAGGCACAAGAAGGGGAGTCGTAAGTTCAAAGGCCCTGTGGCGAAGAGTTGGCGAAGGCGCTAGGTCTTCCTTGAAGGCGCTAAAATGTACTACTTTCGTAGTGATGTCGACTGTCGGAAGTATTATTTTGATTCACACAATGATGACCTGGTCGTGGGTGCCGTTGACCTGCGTGATGCTTATATGCTTGAACAAAGTGAACACCTTGATCTACCGGCAACAGGTATTGCCATTCACACGCGCTATCGTGCATGGCATAAATGTCACGAGATGGACCAAGACTTACGTATACTATCTGCAATCGATCCGCACTTGAATTTGCCGTCATATCGGCTACGTCTGAAAATGTTGTGAAGCGAGACCTGCCTAGTGCCCGCGTGTACGAAATGAAGGGACAATTCAGTTATCGGTTCTGGTACGTCATCTTTGTAAGTACGGCACTCATTGAGCTCGCAGGTATCGTGCTATGATTGCGTCTTCGTATCGAGTCTCGGACAAGACAGAGATGTGAGGAAATCCAGTTGGTTTACGCTGAGACGTTGCAGTGCGATAACATGTGATACCATTGCGGATGGTCCCATACTCTATAAAACGGAGTCTGTAAAAATGGAGTCTGGGTAAACGGAGACTGTGAAAACGGAGTCTGGGAACCTCTGCAATGGTATCATTGGGTGGCTGGCATTGATACGACACACGTGTGTTAAGGAACCTCGCATTGGTGTCTGGTTGTCATACTATTGTCTCTTCAGCTTGTCTGTGTATCCGTATCTTGCTGGGTTTCTGGATTATTTGGGCATATGGAAGTCTGCACGTCGTGGTGCTCGCTGTTTACGTCATTTTAAGCCGCGCATTTTCTCCGAGGAGGTAAACTATTAGTTATTTGGTATTGTTGAGAAAACAAGAGATTAGTTCTAGCACTGGTTATTGTAATGTTAGTGGCCGACGGTAGATATGATGTTGTGTAACAGCATTGAGCCAGCAGAAGACACTATTGCAACGCTGGAGAGATTTATGAACTTGGTCTATCCACCTCACCTCGTTCATGTTTGGAACTGCGACGACAGATATTGCCAATTCAAATGGGAGACTGGCAGTCTAGTTCCTAAGGTTATCGTGAATACTAGCGTGATTGAGGATGCTCGTGACGCCCGTCACGAGGTGGCTCAATTCATGTACGATCGCGTGTACAAATCGCACGAATTGGAGGTGGAAGAATGTCGCAAGGAACACACCACCGTGAAGATGCTGACGATGGCAAACGGCACATCTTGAACCGCATCGACTGCGCTGTTGGCTTAGTGCGTGACGATTACGACTACCATGGCGTACCCAATCTGACGTTTGTGTGACGCCGTGCACCACACAAAGGCCGGCGACATTAACAACGTGCTGTATAATGAAGGTGCATGCGGTCGCACTACCATCGTTTTTGATAGCGACATGAAGTCCACACTCCCGTTCTTCTTTGACACGCTGCAGTGCTTGAAGATTACGCGCTGCTGTGCTCCTGGCTGTGGTGATATTGATGTGTTGTGCCCTACGTCAAGCAGCCATAGCGGCGGAAGCCCAGATCATGTATTCCTCAAAAGACTGCTACAACGCATTGGTCACGTCAAGTCGAGTAATCACCGCCGCCAGACGCAGAACACCATATCGAGCGCATGAAGCGGGATAGCTGTGGTAGAAAGATCAACCAAACGAAGGGGTTGTGCCGCAAGTGGATTGTGCTGTGGCTGACGTACTAGCAACCATTTTGTTGGTATTTCTCTTGCGCGGTTACCGACCGAGCTGGGGGTAGACCACGGCTGGCGACATCGACGCGCCACGAGTCATCGATTCGGCGATGCAGCAATAAGGTCAAAGGTCCACACAAGAGTGACCAAGGGACCTTGCCCCAGGACCTGCGCCGTTGCTCAGGCTACCGCGCACTTCGACTCGGAGGCCGCTTGACTGGTCTCCACGGCATACCATGGCGCTTATGATGCCAAGCAGCATCAACCACCAACCCAAGAGACGCCCACTGTGGCGCACACCCTCCGAATCTACCTTGGACACAGCTTCGTTTGACTTAGGACATCCGAGCATCTATCGTGTCATCCATAATGTTGAAATAAACAGTCTGTTTATCTCACTTTCCTCTACACCTTTGAATCACCGTCCTGTTCAAGCGAACTAACCGCAACAAACATGTAATGCTATTTCTTACATTGACAAAAGCACGAACTTCATGCGTAACCACAAATCCCACGAGTTTTGGGCGTTCTGCACGCTTCATTTCAACTCCAAAGCCTTACCGTGGTCCATTGGCAACCGCTTCTGTTGTTTTATGCAACGACGTCAAACTCAACTATCCAAAATAATGGGCTTCCAATACACTGTCAGAAAACAACCATGTGCCAAGCGATCGATGGACGGTGTTGTGAACATCGGTTATATGATGCCGAATTGGACGAAGTCTGACTACGAAGCTAAGAATCAATTTGTCAACTCTGGTGAGTACACGGCAATCACGAAAGCGGCAAGTCTCGACAGTATTCGAGGTTGGTTGTTGTGAATACAGATATGTAATGGCAAATGGGGCAACACAAACGTCGTTCTACATTGAATAAGTACAATGAAGTCGTTAGCTGTGTCTTTTTTCCTGAAAGAATACGAGTAATTTGCTCTTAGAATCAGGCTGAGAAGGTCGAACGGAAGCATGTGTCTACTTCTGAAATCAAGAAATGATAGCATTAACAGCCCGCTATCTGATTATACAAGGCAATGTAGAGCGGCCTGGCCATCTGTCATCACTGGATTCGTAATAGAGCGGTGACCACGACCCAAGACACGCTGTTGCTGACACACTTTATTTTTCCACGCCAAGAGCACCATTGAAGTCCACATACAAACGCCAGAACGGCACGATAACAGTAAGTCTTGCATACGCGATCACGATTTGGCAACATTGTTTATCACGTCGGTGTTCTCATCGGTGGCAATGCCATTTACGTCGAAGTTTCGACAGAATCTACCCACATATAAGCAAAACTCTCGATGGCGTCGCGAAATGTCGAGACGTAAACCTCGGTGGTTGGCTGGCAGTTGAACGCTGGATGACAGCAAGCGCAGTATTTCGGCTTAGGCGTTGAGAGTCGATTTGCCAGCTCGGCGACTAACTCGGCAATCACAAAAGCGACAAGTCTAGACAACATGTGATCCAAGCTGAATGACCATCACGCCACTTTCATCTCCGAGGATGATATCCAGCATATCGTAAAGACTAGCAGACTCGATCGTTCGTTTAGTGTACACTTCCCACTCGTTGGTCTGCTGGGCGTGGTTGCGTATCCCAGGATCCAAAAACCCGCGGCACTCGCACTGTATTGTGTCCACGTTCATCAAGTGCTCGTCGGATGTGTGTTCGAATCCCATGACAGAATAGGGGTGCCATTCGACCGCGACGGTCAAAAACGCTGCCATTGTCATGATGTCAACCCATCTCGTCGTGGATCTGTTTTTGCAGCATTGGCATAATACTCAGCACGCAGTCGAGCACACAGCTCGATATACAACCTTTGTAGTACTGGTATAATAGTACCTTTTCATCCCTGATGCCGATCGGCTCGTTTTGGAAGACCAATTCCGAAGAAGGCATCTTCGCTAAGGTATCGTTCGGCAAGAAACTTGCCACCTACGATGATTGTAGAGGGTTGGCTCCAGAACGTGTATCCCGGACTTGTAGATAATGAATGATCAGCGCCTTTTTGAGATCTTTGGCAGCATGAAAGCTGACCAGCACCGCTACGCTGTGTTTCTTGTCTTAGCTTTCGTTGAGCTGGTCCAAGGCTACTAAACACGACTGCAATGAACTCGTGACCAAAATCGAAGGAGACAACAAAACAACCGATTGTTCGTTGGCGAGTGGAGCTTGGCTGTCCTTCCAATATGCGCTGCAACAACCCCGACTTTTTCTACAAGTTTGCGACAGAGCAGTTGAAGATACACGGCCAAGCGGAAGCATGTTGGACATTCTGGTTGTGAAAGGTAGCAGAGGACAGTAATAGCGACATGGAAGCCTGATCTTTGCAGGAACTCCTCAAGGTTGACGAAACTGCTAAAGTGTTTCAAACCGACCCAATCATGACAGAAGGGCTTCACTAGAAACAAGAAGCATTTTTCCATGTTAAAATGCGTATAGTACTACACTCCTTTGCTTTATTCTGTTCTGAATCGGTCTGGTAAGTGTTACCGTCCGCATTGGCTACTGCTTTTACTTCTACTACATGTCGGCAGGCGTTTCAGTGAACATCGATGCGTTAAGGTCACTAGAGACTACTGCTTCAGTATGAGCCGAGTTTACATAGTAATAACGATGTGCTCGGCATTTTCTCGGGAGCTACTAGGGTACGACGTACGTAGGCATGTTATGAAAATGATACGATTGAGCCTTTCACTGGTAGTTGCAAGCAAAATTACACGAAATTGTCGTTAGACATTTGGATACACCAACAAACTTTTACACTCAAGACAAGATCGAAATAAAGGTTCAAATGACTGCCATTTAGCTATCACTGTAACATTAGCTGGCCTAGAACTTGTAGCTACAGGCGACATACAGGGTGCAAATTCTATACAATCTACTCGTAGGTACAGTAAATCCGTAGGTAATACATACCATTACGATAATCAACAATACGGAACCCATCATTCTTGGCCAATTTTTGACGATCATAAAGATTACGCTCGCGGGGCTATCGCAATCCGACCAGTGACCAGGGTATCGATTCTACAGATACTGACGTCAGTTATTCACCCAAAGTACAATTGTAGTACAGCGTTTCGTTCCCAACAGTACATGAAGATTGCACTCAGGTTTACTCCCCAGGGTGTGGCGATCCGACCAGTGGCGTAAGTGTACAAGTACCATTTATACTAAGGATCATAGTATCCCTATTACGTTAACTGTGCCTATCCTTATGATCATCAAAAATTGGCCAAGAATGATGGGTTCGGGATTGTTGATTATAGTAATGGTATGTATTACCTATGGATTTACGGTACCCACTTGTACGGTATTACCTGTTTATGTCGTCTTTGGTATCGATTCTATGCAATGTCGTCACAGCTATGGTTCAATGGCTGTAAGGTGAATCCTCCCCTTATCTTGAGTCGAGTTTTGAGGTTATTTATGGGTGTAGTCAATTGACTGAGTGGCCGTAGTGTGTATGCATATCTTACCCTTGGATTTTATTTGGTGTCCTCATCATATCATCGCAGAGTGCAATCACCAGGAGATCGTATAGTATGAGCCACCTGCAATTGTTAGTATATACCTTGCTACAATCAACACTACGTAACTCAATATATCTTGACAAATTGGACCATCGTGAAAATTGCACTCAGGTTTACTCTTTCCGGGGGTGGCACGCAGTCCGGATAGTGGCGAGCGTGTCAAATCACCCTATATATAACATTCATTATAGTATCCATAGAACGTTGAAAGAACCTATCACCATGCGTGGAACAGTGACACTGGATTTGCCACGTGAGGTTATTCTTTCGCGAGTGCGCAGTTGTGCTGAATCCAGATACATGGCTACGACAATGAGTGGTCCTGGTGACTTGTATTACGCACTGATCAATGTCTGTGACTTCTGTCTTCAGGATTCGTCGTAATCAGTTCGAGATAGTTCTGCTAACTAAATTTATTCAATCTTGCTCATTAACCAATTTGCTTTGGAATCGTCAAGACTGACCAAGTATAACCGACAATGATGAAACTCTTCATTGCTGCCGCTGCCCTCGCCGTTAGTTTCACTACTGCCCTTAACACTCGTTTGGCCGCTGAACCAAGCAGTAGTGACCTATATGCCAAACGTTACGAAAATAATAAGAATTATTGCGGCGAAGTGGAAACGATTCCGAGAGAATCTTTTATTGTCTTCCAGAATAGGAATGGTGCAGACAAGAGAGTTGGTTGGTGCATCGCTGTGACCAGCTCTAGTAAAAACGACGTTTCGTGGTATGCTCAACTCAACGCAGACGACTCTCTGAAACCATCTCCTGTCAACTTGACTGCAAATGTTGCATTAAAGTATAACACCATTGTTCTTTATGTTGTCACCTCAATTAAGACAATGATGAAGTATGAGTACATTGCAGGACCTGGTGTCATTGCGAATGTCGCCTACAACCTTGAAATGAACACTGAATTCCAAACCAATACAGGAGTGCAGTACTTCATTAGAGTGTGGATCAATGCATTAGGTGGTAACATACCTTATGGTGACACAGTCCCGGGCAAGGGACTGATCGTTTCCAATGTTGCTTATGATCTGTACATCGGAAATCATAACGGTATCAGGTACATCACATACGTGGCAACTCAACCGGTTACCCACTTCGATGATGACCTATTGGTGTTCATCAATGAGCTCAAGATACAACAAATTTATTAGTGATAATGACTACTTGGTAAAGTTGGACGCGGGCACACGCATCATAAAAGGGTCATCTGCCACTTTCACAGTGAAAAAATTCCAGGCTGCTATCAAGATTGAATCACCAGCTGAATAAGGATGGATCTTCTCATCTAGTGTGCGCTCATTGTGCGGTTATTGGAATAATCCAAGCAATTTGTGATGGTCGTGTACAGTGCATGGCGCTTCATCACCATTTTCTTTCTCTCAGTCGAATAAGATAGAATAGCACTCTCCATGTCTTAGCGATAAGCAAATCGAGTTTGTCATTCTCCTTCAATTCGCTGTTGTGATGTGTCATGAATGCAAGTCGTTTACATTCATCTAATTCTTCTGTGCTTTCATACTTGATCGCTGTCTTTCTCACTTTAGAATTCACGGGTAAGGAGTACAAGCCACCTCAAAGACAAGTCCCGACTAGCCCCAACCTTTGGCAAAGTCGCTAATGCTAGTGTCAAGGCAAAAGGGAGAGAGATCTTCTCTCCGCCACGCGCAGTCCACAGGAGGCAGCATAACGTGCGACCCGTAAGGTGGCGAGGATGCGCAGGTCATCTCACGCGGAAAGGCGTGTCGACACAGCTTGATCGCCTTCTCCCACATCTCTAGTTCTAACCCTTCTGCATACGCCCAAAGTCGCCGTCCTGTTCGGTCCTAAATGCTGTCTGACAAGCTAGGCCCGCACTTGATCAACGCCTAACGACGTCCCCCTTTTCCTTGAAATTCTGACGTAACGAGCGCGCAGAGGGAGACGGCGAGGACGGACACGGTTCTACCATGGTAGAAGAACAAGGTCAGGTTCCACTCTCGTGTCATGTGCGTAGATGATTCTAATCAAATCGACTATCTGGACCATCTCGACCATCATCATCTTCGTGCATCCATTACAAGCTAATACGATCAGCTTCAAGAGCCCATGACCCAGTTTGAGACACAAAGAACAGGTCATATGGAGTCTATGGCCAATCGGCATTCTCCCGACCTTGATTACTCACCGCATGAAGAAGCTTAGTACGAGAAGACAGACACGTCTTCAGTCGTCAAGTACCACCCGCAACTTTTGTCACCTGTCTTCTCGGGTAAGAATCTTTTCTGACAGTCTACAATGGATGCTCAGAAAATCAGCAGCGAACTCACGAAACCCACAGGGCGCGAGAATGTGGGCAAGATCTCAGTGCAAGGTTGGAGGCACAAGAAGGGGAGTCGTAAGTTCAAAGGCCCTGTGGCGAAGAGTTGGCGAAGGCGCTAGGTCTTCCTTGAAGGCGCCTAAATGTACTACTTTCGTAGTGATGTCGACTGGCGGAAGTATTATTTTGATTCACACAATGATGACCTGGTCGTGGGTGCCGTTGACCTGCGTGATGCTTATATGCTTGAACAAAGTGAACACCTTGATCTACCGGCAACAGGTATTGCCATTCACACGCGCTATCGTGCATGGCATAAATGTCACGAGATGGACCAAGACTTACGTATACTATCTGCAATCGATCCGCACTTGAATTTGCCGTCATATCGGCTACGTCTGGAAATGTTGTGAAGCGAGACCTGCCTAGTGCCCGCGTGTACGAAATGAAGGGACAATTCAGTTATCGGTTCTGGTACGTCATCTTTGTAAGTACGGCACTCATTGAGCTCGCAGGTATCGTGCTGTAATTGCGTCTTCGTATCGAGTCTCGGACAAGACAGAGATGTGAGGAAATCCAGTGGGTTTACGCTGAGACGTTGCAGTGCGATAACATGTGATACCATTGCGGATGGTCCCATACTCTATAAAACGGAGTCTGTAAAAATGGAGTCTGGGTAAACGGAGACTGTGAAAACGGAGTCTGGGAACCTCTGCAATGGTATCATTGGGTGGCTGGCATTGATACGACACACGTGTGTTAAGGAACCTCGCATTGGTGTCTGGTTGTCATACTATTGTCTCTTCAGCTTGTCTGTGTATCCGTATCTTGCTGGGTTTCTGGATTATTTGGGCATATGGAAGTCTGCACGTCGTGGTGCTCGCTGTTTACGTCATTTTAAGCCGCGCATTTTCTCCGAGGAGGTAAACTATTAGTTATTTGGTATTGTTGAGAAAACAAGAGATTAGTTCTAGCACTGGTTATTGTAATGTTAGTGGCCGACGGTAGATATGATGTTGTGTAACAGCATTGAGCCAGCAGAAGACACTATTGCAACGCTGGAGAGATTTATGAACTTGGTCTATCCACCTCACCTCGTTCATGTTTGGAACTGCGGCGACAGATATTGCCAATTCAAATGGGAGACTGGCAGTCTAGTTCCTAAGGTTATCGTGAATACTAGCGTGATTGAGGATGCTCGTGACGCCCGTCACGAGGTGGCTCAATTCATGTACGATCGCGTGTACAAATCGCACGAATTGGAGGTGGAAGAATGTCGCAAGGAACACACCACCGTGAAGATGCTGACGATGGCAAACCGCACATCTTGAACCGCATCGACTGCGCTGTTGGCTTAGTGCGTGACGATTACGACTACCATGGCGTACCCAATCTGACGTTTGTGTGACGCCGTGCTCCACACAAAGGCCGGCGACATTAACAACGTGCTGTATAATGAAGGTGCATGCGGTCGCACTACCATCGTTTTTGATAGCGACATGAAGTCCCACACTCCCGTTCTTCTTTGACACGCTGCAGTGCTTGAAGATTACGCGCTGCTGTGCTCCTGGCTGTGGTGATATTGATGTGTTGTGCCCTACGTCAAGCAGCCATAGCGGCGGAAGCCCAGATCATGTATTCCTCAAAAGACTGCTACAACGCATTGGTCACGTCAAGTCGAGTAATCACCGCCGCCAGACGCAGAACACCATATCGAGCGCATGAAGCGGGATAGCTGTGGTAGAAAGATCAACCAAACGAAGGGGTTGTGCCGCAAGTGGATTGTGCTGTGGCTGACGTACTAGCAACCATTTTGTTGGTATTTCTCTTGCGCGGTTACCGACCGAGCTGGGGGTAGACCACGGCTGGCGACATCGACGCGCCACGAGTCATCGATTCGGCGATGCAGCAATAAGGTCAAAGGGGTCCACACAAGGAGTGACCAAGGGACCTTGCCCCAGGACCTGCGCCGTTGCTCAGGCTACCGCGCACTTCGACTCGGAGGCCGCTTGACTGGTCTCCACGGCATACCATGGCGCTTATGATGCCAAGCAGCATCAACCACCAACCCAAGAGACGCCCACTGTGGCGCACACCCTCCGAATCTACCTTGGACACAGCTTCGCTTGACTTAGGACATCCGAGCATCTATCGTGTCATCCATAATGTTGAAATAAACAGTCTGTTTATCTCACTTTCCTCTACACCTTTGAATCACCGTCCTGTTCAAGCGAACTAACCGCAACAAACATGTAATGCTATTTCTTACATTGACAAAAGCACGAACTTCATGCGTAACCACAAATCCCACGAGTTTTGGGCGTTCTGCACGCTTCATTTCAACTCCAAATCCTTACCGTAGTCCATTGGCAACCGCTTCTGTTGTTGTATGCAACGACGTCAACCTCAACTATCCAAAATATTGGGCTTCCAATACACTGTCAGAAAACAACCATGTGCCAAGCGATCGATGGACGGTGTTGTGAACATCGGTTATATGATGCCGAATTGGACGAAGTCTGACTACGAAGCTAAGAATCAATTTGTCAACTCTGGTGAGTACACGGCAAATACGAAAGCGACAGTATTCGAGGTTGGTTGTTGTGACTACAGATATGTAATGGCAAATGGGGCAACACAAACGTCGTTCTACATTGAATAAGTACAATGAAGTCGTTAGCTGTGTCTTTTTTCCTGAAAGAATACGAGTAATTTGCTCTTAGAATCAGGCTGAGAAGGTCGAACGGAAGCATGTGTCTACTTCTGAAATCAAGAAATGATAGCATTAACAGCCCGCTATCTGATTATACAAGGCAATGTAGAGCGGCCTGGCCATCTGTCATCACTGGATTCGCAATGGAGCGGTGACCACGACCCAAGACACGCTGTTGCTGACACACTTTATTTTTCCACGCCAAGAGCACCATTGAAGTCCACATACAAACGCCAGAACGGCACGATAACAGTAAGTCTTGCATACGCGATCACGATTTGGCAACATTGTTTATCACGTCGGTGTTCTCATCGGTGGCAATGCCACACGTCAAAGTTTCGACAGAATCTACCCACACACAAGCAAATCTTGCGATAGCGTCTCGAAAAGTCGAAGTGTGGACTCAATCATAGTAGGCCGTAAAGGACAAGAGATTCTTGTGTTTGACGATGTCTTACCCTTTGACCGTGCACTGAGCTTTTTCGAGCAAAAGGTGGTATTTACATTGTAACCTTAGACGCTGGAGTCGACTCAAAGTGTCGGTTATCCATCGTTGATATTACTTGATACTTTTCTACTCACACATCTTCCAACTGTATTTCTAGTACTTTAATTATATTCAATTGAGTACAATCATCAATCTTTCGCAACTATTTGCTATCGGGCCGCTGCTCTACAAAGTTCAGATATGCTGTGTCCGTTAAGTTCTCAGTTAAGTAGCCTCCTTATTTTTCATGATTCGATGAAATTTGCGAACACAGTGCCCAATTTAGATCACAAGTGACCCAAAAGAGCTTACAACTACTTTTGCCTTCCTTATAAAGTCAAATCCAAGCGTCTTTTGACCACACATAGTCGCATCGACAATCATGCCATTGAGTAGCGTACGGGAGACGCGTCTTAGCGCCGCACAGAATGCGCTATTACACTCATTAGAATGTCAAGTGCAACTCAAGATGCAGGAAGAGACTCACGCGTTGCTAATACGCTTGCAACAACGTCACGAAATACCCGAGACGTTGCGGGACTTTCTCGTCCACCAAACGTCCAACTTGTCCGATAAAGTGTCCACATGTGATAAAAAAAGTTCAGTCACGTTGGACCCTTGTTTTCGTCAAATGTCATTACATGTAGACATGTGCATGTCTCAGTGGGACATTCTCTATACCCACACTCACGCCTTCCATGCGCTTGTGGTGGATATGGAGACAAGCCACATTCAAGTCGTAAATAAGACTCAAGCACTGTATCAAAGCTTTGAGAATATTTTACATCAAGTGGAAGCATTGAATGCTCGTGTAGGTGCAATTGCAGCACCTATGCCGTATTTTACAGCTATTGATGCAATAGCTCAAACTCTTGGCTTTGGTATCAAGTTTGCAGCACCTTTGAGCAGCCATAACATGTCAAAGAATTATGAGCTAATGGAAAAAGCACAAGGATCAAGATTTTCTTTAGAAACGAGTAATGGGGCAAATACAAGCAAAGCCGTACAGGTTTTTCAGCATCGACGAGGTATTGATCCGACCACAAAAGTCTTTGAACAAGCACTAGAGAAGATTGACACGTCGGTGGCATACCTGATGAAACATGTACTAATATCGTTTGGTGATAAAATTGATGAAGAGTGATATTGATCGTGTGTGTATCTTGTTGGGTTCAAAAAGGTAGAGTATAAAGACTCGGCGTGTTTTATTGACGCATATCGGACACTTGCAGCAGGAGGGATTCGAGGTCTTAAAGATTACGCACTAAGTGGTCTCTATGCAGCAAAGGACGCAGTGTACGAGGCGCTACAAAAGGAGGCGACGGAGACTCAGCATAGCGGTATTGCGACTTCATCACTTGGGCGGGAGCTGGACGAAACGTCGGCGTATTATGTTAGTTTTCAGCTGGTAGTGCCAGCTCTGGCAGCAGTTGCAAAACAACTGGAGCGTCTAAATGCTAGGTCACTTCAGGATCGTGCCGAGAACTTGCGTGTGCTGGGAGAGGTAGTTGACGCGTATGCTACTCATCGTGTACAGCTATTGTCACCCGTGCTTGGCACGTGGCTGAGTGCGTTGTCTCAAACGTCAGATATTGTAAATTTGCTTCGCACAACTTGTGCCCAACTGCTGAAGGTATGTGAGGCCGAGTTTCGACTCTTTTCGAAACTATTTGGCCACGATCCGAGCGACCAGCTCTTTAACTTTTCAGATGACGATGCTGCTGCACGAGGAGTGGCCGAGCAGGCAGAGGATGACAACGAGAACGCTTTTGAGTATGTGTGTGGTCTACATTATTGCTATAATGTGTGCATCTGCTGACGTTGCATGTTTTGTACGCTAGACAACTCATTTTCCGTCTGAGCGGCTTACTGTACAATACTATGCGTCCTCAAATTTTGAGTCAAAAGGACTTGGATGTTCTTTGTGAGGTCATTCAGGTGCTAAGGAGCGAAGTGATTGAGGCAGCAATTACCCCGCGTGTAGCGATTGTCGGTTATGTCGAGCCTGTGATGCATCGTATGATTCAAGATGCACAGGAGCGACTCATCCTATGCATGCAGAAATACATTCGCGACGAAATTGAAGCCTTTGTGCCCACCTCCGCTGATCTAGACTATCCGGCGAAGTTATTGACCGCAGAGCAGGCCAGTGCATCGTTGTATGCTACATGGTACCCTTCGCTAGAACATACGCTAATGTGTTTGTCGAAGGGATACCACTTTGTCAAGGTTAGTTTTGGCTGAGATGCAGATGCAACTACTTGGAGGACACGATAAACTAATTTACTTTGATTTGATGACTTCTACTTAACGATATAGATGGAAATATTTGAGGAGTTGGCACAGGATGCCATTCAGATCTGTGCAGCGTCCTTGAAAATGGCTTCAGCTGAAATTGCGATAACTCACGGTGACCTTCATGGCTCGCTTTTTCTGGTCAAGCATTTGCTCACGTTACGCGAGCAGATAACTCCGTTTGAGATTCAGTTTGCGCAGACGAGCAAGGCGCTAGACTTTAGTAGCAGCGCAGATGCCATGAATGAGCTGCTTGCGGATACATCGACGCTATTTCGTTTCTCAGGGCCAAATGGCATTGTGGGCCTCTTTGTGAGTGGAATCCCCCACATTCAGGAGACTACAGCAGATGTGAAAAAGAAACTAGAGCAGGAGCTAAAAAAGAGCTGCACATCATTTATTGAGACCGTGCTTCAGCAGTTGGCCGGCCCGCTGCTCGCGCTGATCAAGCAGATTGCTCATGTACAGCAAACACAAAAAGCCACGGCACTCGACTTCCGTCAATGTGCATTTACGTCACCATTTGAGGTGAGCAACATACTTTCGGGTGTCTCTCATCAGCTACGCGAAATGTTGCCAGAAATGTTGCAGACGATCCGTCTCTACCTTCACAACTCATCTACCGAGACGATCCTGTTTAAGCCCGTGCAGGTTTGGAATGGTATTATAACGGCTTGACTACTTTCATATGTCTGACCGATGATTCCTGTATTTGTCCTCTTTAGCGAAACCTGCTGGCCGCTGTCGAAAGCCTTAACACGCTGATGGAGCAAATTTACACTTACGAGGAGCTTCAGCAATGCGAAGAAGTTTTTGGTATTGTGCTGCAACAGTTGCGTGCAATTTAAACCCTAGAAATTGGCCGTGGCGATATTTGTTTGGCCTACAACGATGTGCACGGGTGATTGGAATTTCTGACCCTTTTGACAACTTACGCGAACGCAATGTTAACATAATGCAATTGACGCTGCAGTAGGAGTGAAAGAAAATGCGTCGTATGGTATACTAATCCACCCGCAAGTGAGCAATTCGAAAATGCGTTAATGAATTTTACTTCATGGATGTCTATAGAAGCGCAATTGTAGAGTCGACTATATGCCAGGAAAGCATGGATATTAGAATGTGGTTTGATGACCCGCTTCAGAACATGAATGGAACTACGTGTCACTGGCGTCACTAGACATTTGGATTTAAAAAAAGCCCTGACTGCAAGTGATTTCTTGAGTCATCAACAAATAACGATACGATACGTCGTGGAATATCAGGAAATGCGTGGCCTAGACAAAGGTGTAAAATCAGAACTCTATGGCGATGTACATGCAAAACTTGTAAAGTTGACATAAGACATTAATATGAATACGCGGTGAGTTGGTCAATGCTGCACGTTCAAACTATCGAAAAGAAATCAGTGTACGAACACAAGCTTTCAGTCTATCACCAACACTGACGACGTCATGTCTTGCTCAAATGAGGCACAAAATTAATTTACCAGTACAACTGCATTCTTTTGCAAAGCCTTTATGCACAAGTAGTTGGTTGTTCGCTAAGACGGCCTATGCAGCTTTTGTTCGTTCGGATCAACAAAAATGCAAAAGTCGCGTTTTAGCGCGTAAGCGCTGCGACGCAATCACCATCAGGTCTGAACGATGCTATCAATGCGATAATTTGCCGTGATAGCCAATCTTCCTTCATTTAGCTTCCCCAACGTGTACTCTGTATCTTTTCTCAATGTGATTTAGCTCAAACTTTGATGACGATCTTCCTGTTTGTTTTGCACACAACAGCCCGCTTTTTCCGTTATATGTCCCGAACCGAGTAAGGCTTTGCAGCGGTTGTTCAGTTCCGTGATAACCAAGAGTAAAAGTATAGCGACATTGCTAAGTTATAATGAAGGTCATATATAAAGCAGAAGGTGACTGTTCCCCCCTCCCCTCCTGTAGCTGACGGATGATCAAGACTAGCTTGAACTTCTCGCCTGGTCACTCACTGCACGGTGCCGAAAGAACCCGGCTCAACGCCACTTCTTAGAAACTTTGGACGGATCGTGAAACTATAGAAAGGTAGGACCTACTCATAGCACATGTAGTAAACTTGGGACGACATGGACAGAGGTTGCAAAAAGCGACATCTGATCATGTCTACCCCTGTATCAGAAGGAATAGTCAAGTGCTACTCACTGCCTTCAAAAGTCATGTCAATTATCGCGTTTCTCCTCAAGTAAATCTCCTACAAACGTAAAGAACATGACGTTTCGCCAAACTGACCCAAGATGTTGATGTGGAGCCAGAAACAAAGATGTAATCTGCAGTCTTCTGCAGTAGTCACCCCCGCTCAGTCACATGATTGACTTAGCATTTTCCAAATGCTACGTCCCCAACACACCTCAATATGCTGCGTTCTTCCTGTTACCTCCTGGCTGTATTGGCTACAGCTTCCGCCACGATCTTTGACACCTTGACCAGCTCCAAATACGTGCGCACGATGCAAGCGAATGACTCAGCATCTAAAGCAATCGTGACGACAACTTCAACTTTAACAACCCACGTGCAGTACAGTATCCGGAATGGTCAAACGAGGAGCAAAGGAGTGAACCTCGGGTCGTGGCTCGTAGCTGAAAACTGGATGACCAGATCTGCTGACTTTTGGACGGGGACTATCAATGCTTCCCACGGCGAGTACACGGCCATCACTCAAGCCACCGACCCGGAAGCCATCCGCATGCATCTTGAGTACCACCACTCTACCTTCATTAATGAGAGCGACATCGCAGACATTGCCGCAGTCGGTATCAACACGGTGCGCGTTCCAGTAGGCTACTGGATTGTTGGATTTGACCACGACGATCCATCAGGAAAAGCTGAATGGGACGTCTACACGAAAGGAACACTCAAGTACTTGGACCTACTGGTCACTGACTGGGCGAAAAAGCATAACGTCGCTGTGCTGCTGAGTGTTCATGCAGCAAAAGGGTCTCAAAATGGAGCAGACCACTCGTCCCCGAGTGTGTATGGCTCACAATTCTGGGCCTCATTCGAAGAAAACGTCAACAACACCATCTCGATGGTATCGTTCTTGACTAAGCGATACAAAGACGAAGACGCGTTCCTTGGCTTTGGGCTCCTGAACGAACCGAACGGCAACACGAAGACAGAGATACTGTACAACTACTACAAACGAGCATATCATGCAGTTCGAGGAAGTGGCAGTGAGTGCGTGTTGACGGTAGCGCCACTGTTGTATGAACAGAACCCCAACGTATTGACGGACTTCATGCTGGCCCCGGCATACACGAACGTGTGGGTGGAATGGCATCCGTACTTTGTTTGGGGCTATGACGGTGTGTCAGACCAAGAGCTGGTAGACACGAGCGTTAAAGTGAAGTTTAAAAACGACGTGACGCAGTGGAACTCAGTCTTGAACCACAACCGCCTTTTCATCGGCGAGTGGTGTTTTGCTACCAATGGCAAGTTTGCAAACGACTCCGAATTGTTTTATCAATTTGCGCAGGCTCAAACGACAGTAGTAAACCAAGCCGAAGGAGGCTGGACTTACTGGAGTTGGCGCATTTATGACGACAATGCTGGTGACAATATGTGGTCGCTACGTGCCGTACTCCGAAACGAGAGGCTCAAAGCAATTTTGTTCCCGTTAAGCAACAATGGCAGCAGCAACCTTGTCTAGCATTTCTACTTCTACCAATCTAGCGTAACAACAACTCCAGCAACAGTTGTGAACACACCTTGCTTGTCGTTATTAACTCTTGAATGCGTTAGAAAGTTGTGATGTCTGATTATCTTGACCGTGTCCGATAGATACAAAAATATTGGCAAACGACTTTCAGTATATATACAAGTCATAGTCACGACAGGATTTTAGTTTTTCTTTATCATTTGGTCACATTCAACTCGGCGGCATTCAAAACCTGCATACCATTGACAGCCAATCAGTAATCACACTTCATGCCTGCTCGACTTCACTGCTATTATCCTAACGTTTCACTATCAGTATGCTCATAAAAATTGTAATATGAGGTTTTGATGCGTTTGGTGTCAAGACTTGTAGGTTTGCATAAGAACTAGCACATTACAAAGTGCTTCTAGTACTTCGTAATACCTATTTTGTTACGCCACTAACGGTCTAACAAAGAAATAGACAGATCGTTTTCAAGCTTCTCTTTATATTCGCAAATCTGACTGCAGCATTTCTATCTACGTTCCATTTTCTTCGTGTCAGACAATACAGCAGACAGCAAGCAGCAAACTACCAAAATATTGCCAAGCCCTTCTACCGGACTAAAGATCCGCTTAAGGCTGCTTGCGCTTGAAATCAGTGACATTTTCAGTCACTCAAACTTCCTTGCCAACCAGCGCTTACAAATTTAACGCCTTCTTGATGATGCGGTCCTGCTCAATCTGGTGTACAACGTTGTAGCCAGTGGCTGGTGCCGCGGCAGGGGCACGGCCAATATATGTAGGCCTACGGGAGTCACTGTTTAGCTGCGTCAGCGCCGTCTCAATGCGCGGCGACACGTACGTCCAAAAGCCCATGTTCAGCGGCTCCTCCTGTACCCACTTAATATCGGCATTTGGGTAGCGAGCGGCCTGTTCCGCTACCTTGTCGAAAGGGAATGGGGCGATCTGCTCTACTCGCGCGATCGCAACGTCTTTTATATCCTTCTCGTTACGCTCTTGAGTTAGCTCGTAGTAGATCTTGCCCGAGCAGAAGATCACCCGCTTTACCTTGTCGTCCTCGACAAGCTTTTCCGGGGCCACTTCGGGTATCAAACGCTGGAACTGTGTGCCATCAGCCATCTCCTCTAACTTTGACGAAGCCTGACGCAGACGAAGCAGGTGCTTCGGCTGCACCGAGATCAGCGGTTTACGGAAATCACGGTGAATCTGACGGCGCAATACGTGGAAGTACTGGGCGGGCGTAGAGCAGTACACCACCTGCCAGTTCGTGTGCTGAATCTGCATACGATTTTCTTCATCCATTAAAGGCACCACGTTTGGATCATCGTCCGTGCTCTGGAGATACCGCTCCACGCGGCATGACGAGTGCTCAGCGCCTTGACCCTCATAACCGTGGGGCAGCAACATCACAAGACCAGACTGGCGCATCCACTTGTCCTCGCCAGAGCTCAGAAACTGATCGATCATAATCTGCGCACCATTAGCAAAGTCACCAAATTGGGCCTCCCACATGACCAAAGCATTGGGGTTCTCCAGTGAGTAGCCAAGCTCGAATCCCAGCACACCAAATTCCGACAAAGAACTGTTGGACGCCACAAACTCCGCCTGTGTGTCTGGAACTGTGCCACCACCAGGAGTCTTGTACGCCAAAGGAGCCGAAGGAATCGTCTTAGTGGCCAGGTGATTCAAGGGCACAAACTCCTCATTGGTATCCTGGTCGTGCAGCACAGCATGACGATGACTGAACGTTCCACGCTCTACATCTTGTCCACTGATACGAACATGGTTCCCCTCAAGCAGCAACGTGCCCCACGCAAGAGCCTCAGCAGTCCCCCAGTCGATGCCTTCTCCTGTCTCGATCGCACTCTTCTTGGCTCCCATAATGCGGTCCAGCTGGCGATTAACCTTAAAGCCAGGGTTAACGGTACTGATCTTCTCTCCAACGTGCTTCAGCACGTTCATATGCACACCCGTAGAGCGAATACGTGACTGCTGATTGGGGCTCTTGAACGAGTCCCAGCGGTTTGCAAGCCAATCGCTCTTTTTAGTGTCTTCCCACTTCTCCGTCTCGTCGAACGTTCTCTGGAAAAAGTTCCAGACTTTGGACACAACGGCGTCACACTCCTCCTTGGTGGCAGTGCTAGCAGCTACCTGCTGGTCAATGAATTTGTCGAGGACCGACTTCATCTGGCCAATCTTCTTGTACATAAGTGGCTGAGTAAAGAACGGATTATCCACTTCGTTGTGACCAAAGCGACGGTAGCACGTCAGGTTGATAATTACATCCGAACGCCACTTCTGGCGCCACTCAGCCGCAAACTCGAATACCTTCACCACTGCCACCGGGTCGTCACTGTTAACGTGCAAGATAGGCACATCCATTGCCTTACCCAAGTCCGTACAGTACTGCGACGAGCGCGAGTTCTTTGGGTCGGTCGTAAAACCAATCTGATTGTTCACCACCACGTGCACGGTGCCACCCGTGTCGTAATTGTCAAGACCGGACAAATGCATGGTTTCATAAACAATACCCTGGCCGCTAAAGGCAGCATCGCCATGCAGCAGCAGTGGCATGACCTTCTTTTCGGCTTCCGCATCGTTTCCCAGGTAAAATTGCTTCGCGCGAGCCTTGCCAACCACAACTGGGTCGACAGCCTCTAGGTGAGATGGGTTCGCAACCAGCGAAAGGTGCACTTGACGACCATCAGGGTATGTGCGGTCATACGACGTACCGAGGTGGTACTTAACATCGCCAGAATTTGACCAGTCTGCTACATCGCGATCATTGTACGATTTGACGTCAATGTGTGTGCCCTGAAACTCTTTAAAAATCTGCTGAATTGGCTTTCGAATCACATTTGACAGCACATTCAGACGGCCACGGTGAGGCATACCGATCACCAAATGCTCCATGCCAAGTTCCGTGCCACGGTCAATCATGAACTTAAGACCGGGGATGAGACTTTCTGCGCCGTCCAAACCAAAACGTTTCGTTGTGTTATACTTGTTCCCTAAGAACCGCTCAAATACCACAGAAAAAGCCAATCTCTCCAAAATATGCATTTTCTTCTTCTTCGATTCTTCGTGCTTTACCAAGTGCTCCATCTTTGTACGAATCCAATTGCACTGCTCACGGTCCAATATGTGCATATATTGCTGCACAAAGTACCACCAAAACCAAGTACAAAATATGAGTTTAACATTATCCAAGAATCTTGATCGCGGTCAAAAAAATGACACCACTTACTACTCCAATTGAGCTACAATACGTTTCCTTAAGACGCTGAATGATCTGACCTAACGTCATACTGTTATTGCCACCAGCTAATTCCTCCAAAAATCCGGATACACCCGATGAACTGTAAGAAAACCAAGACATTGTCAGTCTCTCCTTCAATGTATACACTATACATTTGTAATTAACTCTTCATAACCACGAATTACGCACAAATTCTTTGGAATAGTAATTACACGGTTCAAATCATTTTCCGTAAAACCATACATCCGGATATCCAACTCTGGAAGATTTCGACGTTCATGTAGCTCTAGTGGATCCAGATTAGCAGCTTCGTGACCACGAACCTGATAGGCTCGAATGAGATAGCTTAGTCCTAAGGCATCATTCAGCTCGGTAGAAGACGAGGTAGTATCACCCAAAGACCGCACAGGCGTCACCCCTTGCTGAATAGTAGGCGGTGGGATAAAAGCTTCACCAGGTACACTACCACTCTCAATCTGGCGAAAGTATACATCCCACGACGTGTGGACACTAATGACGGATAATAATATAATAAAATGTATACACAATACCCAAAATAATTAATGCATATAGTTTGAGCACCAATATGTCAACAGATTGACGGAATGATGGTCATTTATGGGTATTTTTTTATTAGCCAATAATAACAAAGGATTGTGGTATTTACCTTTTTGGATTGATTTTCCAGTTTGTATACATTTCCTCCATGTATACATTATTCGTTCCTGTTATAAAAGTTTCACTTGGATGTGGCGTCGAAGAAAAGACCCGAATCCATGGAGGTATCGTCCAATGAGATACTTGAACATGAGAGGGGACGATACGTGCAGACACAGTAGCACGCACACTACGACGTATAATTTTAGCAAGCCATTGCTGGGACATGTTTGAGGTTTTTACTCGCTCTTGAGCCGCAAACAAATTTGAGGTTCAGGGGCGAGTCGCACGTAATTGAAACTTGGATGTAGCATATTACATGTTCATTGATAGGGAAGGTGGATGACATGATGGATTGTATAATTGATGGATAGATGCACCCCTTCTTGTTTATAAACAAAGCATCAGCTATTGATTATGACAGGTGATGATGTAATAGCTACAGGTCCTACAAAATTGTGTATGACTAGCAACTCGGCTATCATAGCCGGAAGGCCCTCTTGGTTTATGTTATATAGAGATCATAACATGCAGAAGGTTGGGCTCTACGGACGGCCGTTTGATAAGCTTTCGGAGTTGTAGCTTCAAATTGTGTCCAAATGGTAGTCACGCTGGCTTTTAGCGAGGTATCTACGGTGCGATAAACTGTATCCACTCGGTGTGTTTGCGTGAGCATAGTGATGATGGCGGTCCCTGCACCCGCCAATTTGTCACTCAGATGGTGGTAATCTGTCCGATGTTTTCCGAGTATTGGGCCAATAGCATTGCCGTAACTCGCGGCGAAAGGCTTGTTGCTTTGCGGATAGCACACTGCTCGAACAATGAGCAAGTAGTTAGGTTTTTGTAAGAAACCCTCCCAAGACTTATGTGACAGGCCCAGATTACTTAAGCGTAGGAACATTCTCAAAGAGATGCTTCTGGGTTTTCTTTTGGTCCTCACGATTCCGGTACGCACAGGTCGCGTAGTGTGGCTGGTTTTAGTAATACAAGTTGAGCTGGTTGGTAGCGTGACCATATCGTGTTCATATCTGACATTCGATCATCGAGTGCCCGTGGTTCCAAAGCTGAGACGGGACACGTCGAGAGCTGTGTGTTGCTACCGAGTATGCCGGCTCTTGGTGGTCAGCCGATTAATGGACTGCCGCAGCTGTGAGGCAAGGCGACCGTTTGTTCAAGCTTGTTTTTGAGAAAGTGGAGGACGCGTTGGATCGTAGCGCTGGTAGTGAAAATTGACGGGGAGGAGTATTGTTTTTTGAGTGCGTGTCCTCCAACATCATCGTGCTTCCAAGTCTATGTTGCAGGTTTGGAAATATCTCGGACGGATTTGTCTTATGGTCGGTCGAGTGAGGCTTACGGTTATGTCTATCCGACTTATGAGGAATGTTGCGGGAACAAAGAGATGTAGAAAAGTTAATTGGTTGCTTTAGTTGATAGAAGTTCTCGTTGCATTTGGCACGAAACACAATTTCACACTTGTTGTAGCACGGCTTTGTGTGTGTTTTTTTCAGTCTGAGTTCTCTTGGGTAGAAGCGAAATTTCTATCTATAGCGATAATCTAGTATGCAAGTAAATTAAGACAATGCACATGCCACGCACAAAGTAGCGCCCCGAATGTAACGTTCAAAACAAAGTTTTATTCGTTATTTTTATTCGTCAGACCCTCGATACCGAGCTTTCTCAAAAGCTGTTTACGATATACACTTCATATAGAAATCCTTTAAATTCCGTGCCATGATTCTTGAATCAACTTACAAAGTATTACGCAGCAATTTGGCAATTCGGTCGTCAGTGAGAAGTCTCTGCAGAGACCAGGAGTCCAACTTGTTACCCTTCACGTCCAACTTCCACGTCCAGTACGTCCAGCCTTTAGCTGCTTGACTATGTATCTCCAGCTGCGCTTTCGCAAACTCATAGAAAAGTTCGGGATCGTTGAGGAGCATGTTGGAAGGCGAGGCGAAGCTCCACTCGCCAATGAACAAAGGATTGTTGTCTGTCATCGCGTTCCACTTGGTCATTTTCTCCTGGTAGTCTTGCTTAACATCTACTTCCACCAAGTGCTTATTGGTGCGATTTTCATAAGTCCAGATAAAGTATGAGTGCCATTCGACCCAAACGTTCTTATACCTTGGCATTGGCATGAATCCTGCCAGTTCCATGGGGTTTTTACTATCCAGCATTGACATAATAGTGAGCACGCAGTCACTACCCGTCGAGCGCACAACTTGATACGCATCCAGGTAGTATTGGTACAACAGGGAGGCGCTCACGTTTCCTCTAGGCTCATTTAGGAGACCAATCCCGAGGAACGCCTCATCGTTAATATATCGAGCGGCGAGAAACCTTACTACCTCGATGGTGTTGGCAATGTTTTCACGCTTTTCGCTCCACAAAATTTGTCCTGGAGTGGAGGGCGATGAATGATCATTTCCATTTTGCGACCCTTTGGCAGCGTGCACGTCAACTAGTACTGCCACATTGTATTTCATGGCCCAGACACGGATGAGTCGATCCAAGTACATGATCGTTCCTGGACTGTAAGCTTCAATTTCACGTTGGTTCGTTGGATCGTAGTTGTCGTAACCAATGATCCAGAAGCCCACAGGCACTCGAAGTGTATTCACTCCTGCTGCTGCGATCTGCTTGATGTCGTCCTCAGTGATGAAGGTATCGTGGTGCTTGCTCAGCATGGAGCGAACTTTATCTGGGTTTTCCGACTTTGTGATTGAAATGAACTCACCACTGTCTAGATAACGACTGTCGATGCTTTTGCTAACCGCTGCGTTTGACGTCATCCAGTGTTCAAAAACCAGCCATCCACCAAGATTCACACCTCGACATGGGATGGCGCCATTACGAATTTGTGTTTGTACGTGGGTAAAGACAGTGTAATTACCATCCATGGTAATAGCCAAGGTGGTTGGAAATGATACCAAAATTGCGGTCGCGTATGCAAGTTTCATCGTTACAATGTCGTTGTGGCGTATATTATGGAGTTTCAATGTGTTCCTGGCGTAGAGAAATGGATTATGGCAACAGCAGCATGGGCCTCTGATCGTGATTGCTGGTTCATAGGAGTCGAGCTGCTAATCGTTATTGCGTTGGAAGCCACCCACGTGTAAAGACTGGCCCTTAGTTGGGAATCGGACAATATTTTAAAGCCAAGCCGTCGCTCCATTCGTATCTCTGTTTTTCCTTGTTAATTGGAAGAGGCATACGGAGGTACCTTCGTTTTATGACGCTCGATCGCAACTCTCACATACCCTCAAAGCCTATCGCGAATGATCTACCTGGATCTCTGCTTCACCATCCTTCTAATAGAAACATCAGATAATCTAATGATGCCCCAGTGCTTGTTTAGCAATATTCATCTCCGTACTGTTTATGGAAATAGTTCGTAGCCCTTATCTTTCTTGCCCTTCGACCTATGTACATCCTGAGCGTCTGTCATCATACACAGGCGTCTTCCCCGCTAATGTAAGAAGCTCATAGTGACAGCGCATCTGCAAAGCACTTTCAGCTGCCAGGTTTACATTTAACGTAAAGACTGTACTACAGATATCTTATGTGATATTCGCTTTGAATAGCCGTCGCAAAGAACGTGTGGTCCGTGAAGACCAAAATAATCAATCAAAAGGATGTTTGTCAAGATCTCCTTGACATAACCAGGATTCTTCCGCTAGGCAGTACGAATGTATCACCTCGCGCCGCCCACGCAGCTTGAAGCTACCAAAGCTGGAGCAAAGTGATTTGTCCGTATCTATCGTCATCTGGTAAGTGCCAATGCCTATGTGGTGGACGAAACGAAACGAAACGAATTCACCCCATTTCACGACTGACTCAAGCTGGAAGCCCGTAATGATGCTATTCACTGCATGTTCGATGTCATTTTCACGGGTCGCCAAGGCGTCTAAAATTAGCATTTATATAAATAACTAGCCACTTTCCAAGGTCCTTCTTTTAGGGACAACAACCTTGATTGTATCTATTTTGGCCCACGTTCCGGCCCTCATCAATGCGAATGGCGTCAACTTGCCGAGCAGGGTTTACATCACGGTTGTAATGCTCGAGAGACGAGACGGCTATATACGTCGGCAGCTCGTGTCCAACATTTATACCGCGTGCATGTGGATACAGTCGATACGCTGGCTTGTCGCAAAGTAACCACACCAGAGCTTTTGATCCATGTTTAAACCGTTACACGCACCATTACAGAACAGTGCTCGATATTTTAGACCTTGACGCACGCCTATCTTTAGGATTTGAGGCGAGCATCATGGTCTCACAAATATTGAAACCTGGTCCGCATGCAGTGTGTGAAATGGAGCACTTTTTTACCACGAAATCTTCCCATCGAGGCTGAAAGCCTTAGGCCATTTTTGCAAAGCTGGGTGGTTTCTAGTTCCACACGACATTGATGCTGTCTGTTGCGAAAGCAAAAAAAAGGACTCAGCCAAACGCATGCGCATTCTCTCGAATATGCTAATCCTTGAACTTACGGTAGATCTGGATCGCCCGCAACAGGAACCTGTCGCTTGCCGCCTGACGTAGGCCAGCACTAGGATTCACTGGAAATTTGACAGGACATCCCATCGTGGTAGGTGAAGACCGACAAACTCCGTGTCTTTGACAGCTGGAATCTGAGGTACACTGGACTTGTATTCGAAGCTTGCCCTAGCCTGTGCGGGGTACCTTCGGCCGCGCTTTGACGATTCCGAACGGTTGCCTGTTGGTCTACCCCAACCGTCTGCGCACGCTCATTGCAATAGGACTTTTGCAGATGTTTAATTACTATTGCTCACAATCTTGCAACGAAGGCGGGGGCAAACTAGCTGGCAGCACGACCTCAACACCAGGAATCCACACCTGCACGTTTCACGGAAAATTTAGTTTGGACTACATACCGGATTGCTACGCGCCATTGAGCTTCTTGCAGATGGGTTCCCCCCCCGGATATCCGTACGCCATGCGCCACCAGGGCCCCATGCACCGGCGAAGAGTAAATGCGCGAGCACTTCTTCTGGAGCTGTCCGTTTGCTTAAGTGACTTAAGCATACCTCATTAGTCACTGAAATGCGCTAGGGTGCAGATTGGACGCTTGCAACGTTGGAAACACGCACGTGCAGCTCGAACTCGCCGCCCTCCTCGTCTTCATTCGGCGGATGGTAATTTGACGAACCGGATGGCTTTGCTGCCGATTAGGCTTGATGTTTACAATCCTCAGCACAGTTGCGACTCCGAGCCACTGGATTACACGTACTGGTCTTGTCTTTCGTGGTGAACGGATGACGGCACAGGAAGGCGCAGTGACCTACTGGACTGAGATGGTCCAACAATCTAAGCCGTCGCCAGACGTAATCACCACAAGTTGGGTACTATCAAACGCGGCGCTACATCACACACTGCATCGAGATATTCACCTACTCACCGAGTAGCCCACAGATTCTATGTGAAATACCCAACACGATGACGCACTCTTCGGCGCCGGCGTTCTTTCTTGTCTTGGAAGATGTCTTGTACTACACAGTCATGAACATTCTGAATCGCATTCTATAAGTTTTTTCGATTTCGTCTCCATAAAGTTACAATGGCATAGAGCGCGTTTAACTTGGCAACGTTTGATTGTATTGAGTTCAGTCGGTATCTCATTGTTAGCTAGCGCATCATTCTATCCAGTGGCACAGTCCGTGGCAAGAACTTCACCTGGTTCGGAAAAGTAAGTCGACAGCGTAGTTACAGTGCTCTATACAGTGATTAGCAACCACTGCCGGTAATGTAGGCGTTCGGTTTGTAGCGATCGGAATTGATTAACACACAACGGCCTCGGAATATCAGTTTACCCGGGGCCATCGACGTTCATCTAGAGTTCCGTAGTAGGTAGGTTACAGACGCCGTTGAGATTGATTGCGGCGCTTAAAAATGCCGCATCTGTCGCTGCCTGAAATAAAATAACCTGTGACGGATTCCTGATGGATGCACCATGCATTGAAAACCACTCGCAACAGTTACTGTTACGTTTTGTAAGTCTTGACAGTGCACAGCAATCACAAGCTTTACGACACAAATGAAATGTTGTTACCTATAAATAGAGCAGTTGTGTGCAGCAAGCAAGTTATGTCATCTTTACTCTACAATTAATTTTTCCTGAAATCGCTTCCTTTGACGCTCATAGCTTAACTTGAATGCGCACGTCTGTTCTGTAGTGAATGTGTGCGTTTGACGGCCTGTCCTTGAACCATCTCACGCAGTGCATTAGTAACTGATCCTGTGATTTGATTAAACTACGAGTCGATCCTCCTCCAAAGTCTACATCATGTAGTGATTTTCGTCTGCGATAAAAACTTCAATCTTTCTTTCCAATGCCATGTATTAAAAGAATTCATGTAGGTATTTGTCATGTGCGATGTTGCTCCATCGTCAAAGAGCCATCAAAAATTCCCGCTTACCGCCAAACGAACGAACTTCATTCTTGTGTCTTCCCTTCTGTTTTGGGCCAGATACAGCAAACACTGCGTCGTCGCCGCCATTATCCATCTGATTCAAAGCTCCGCTTCATGTGTCTAATTTGAGTATTTGTCTGAATACCACCCGTTCTCGCACGACATTATTTACTCGGGCACAAGTTTATTGTCAATAGTCGGTTTGAGTTTGAGTGGTCTTCTTTTTAATAATGGAGAACTCGTCGTACACCTTTTCCGTGGCAGCTTCTATCATTGTGACGGTAAGATTCGTTGCCGTAACTGAAAGCATCGTAATACCATAGTGAGAATCATCCTTGGCAGCAAGCCACTTCGGAGAAGGAGCCTTTTTATAGCTGTTTAGACCTTCTGAACAACCAGCGTGTCCCGTAACCACATGCACCGGAGCACACGGGTTAGTGTACGTCCTTCCATCCTTAGACACTCCATCCATGTAGACAATGTTGTCTGCGGTCGGGTAATGTCGCTCGTAGGAGTGCACGTGGCCTACCAACACCAGATCCACCTCGTACTTGATCAAAAGTTTTTCAAAAGCTTTTTGTAGTTCAAGAGAACTGTCGACACCGGTGGGCGTGCCGTCAGCATCGCAAGAATATAAGCTGTATATAGGACGGTGCATGCCAACAACAATCCAGGGCACATTTGCACGGTTGGCATGAGCAGCCTTCAGATCGGCCTCCAGCCATGCTAACTGGTTTCCAAAGTTACCATACTTGCGGTTCGTATAGTACGCGTTGCTGGGTGGATTCAGGAAGTCTGTTTCGGACGAACAGGCTACTACGTGCATCAACCCGTACACAAACGAGTACCACATGTTAAGTGCTCCACCGCACTCGTGCGAGGGCATCTTAAAACGCGTGTTGAAGGCGGTGTAGTTGCCCAGTTGATTCTTTTTTTCAGTAGACCGTATACACACCGGCGAGTGACACTCGGCCTCGTGGTTACCAACTACTACCATATACGCCATGCGACGCATAACTTTGGACAGTGAGTTCATGTACTTGTTCCAGGTTTCCTCAAAAAAAAAAACCAAACATGTTCAGTGCTTTCAAAAAAGCGTTGTCGGCGTACGCAATGTCGCCGATATGAAAAACAAAGTCAACCTTGCCTACCAAACTGTTAAGGTATTTGTTTGTAGCAATAGAGTACTTCTCCGTACCCATATCTCCCAACACGGCGACGACAAATGGACTTTTGTCTCCACTTGAACGAGCCGTCATGAACGAACTCACTGTACTCTGGGCTTTCGGATTAGTAGCATTACCCACTTTATAGAAGTATTCCGTATACGGCTTCAGGCCAGTCACAACAGCATGGTAGTTGTACAAAGAATAGTCGTCGTCCTTGTAGTACGACTTCGTTTCAATTCTCGCAGTCTTCACTATAGCAATCGTGGTTTTGCTAGTTCCAATCCATACAGCTGGAGATTCTTCGAGCGAAAATGTGGCCCAGGAGATCGCCATGCCGGTGCCAGGTTCCTTGCCGGCATAAGCCAAGTGAATTTGCTGAGGTTCCTTCGTGTGGTCGCCGGTATCGGTCACTCGACATGCCTGGGATGGCGTAATATCGCCGAATTGGTACTGAAGTGAACACCGATCTTTTGGTTCGCAGCTCAACGATAGACCATTTGATACACACACGTTCGGTCATCCGTGAGCGAAAGATCGCCATTCTTATCAGTGGCGTCGTTATTGTCAAAGAAGTTGTCGAATAAAGTCCTTAATCCGGCAGACTTTGCCAATGTGACGGAGAAAGTGGCGCTTGCAAGTACCGCTAGATGGACAATGATGTTAGCTTTCATTGTTTATACTGTGGTCGTAACTGGAAGTGAAGCACCAATTTCGGATCAAAACATTGTTGTCCGGTTGATAAATTGTATGGTTGTCTTGCTGTCAATTGAATATAGTGTACGTTTATTTTGCGATCGACAATCGTTAAGTGGTTCTTAAAACAAGGTGGTTTGAGTTGTCGCTTAGCTTGTCAATTTTATGAAGGTTTAACGAGTTTCTAATGCAACGTAATTGTTACAGAAAGAGCTCAAGAATCTCCACGCCAAAAGATTACCACCATCTGTTGCCATGGCGTAATATCAAGCCTTTACAGGTAATATCCACTAGTCAAGTTCTTGTAAAGTTCAACCGCAGTCCCATATATCATGCCACGCCGCAGCACTCCTGCTTCAATTTAGCAGAAAGTTTGAACAGGTCAGCACGTAGTATAAACCTGTACGCTGTTTTGTATCGTTGTTATTGTAAACGGTGCAAACTCCTGATCGAGATGGCAACTGGCTGCCACGGCAATACGAGCGGGAAAAACTACTTTTAGTTCGGATCTCGGGAGAAGCTGGGCTGCAACAGAAAAGCTGTCTTCCAGAGAAGACCGCGGAAAGTAGCTGACACCGAATCAAATCGCATGCTACAAGTAATAGGGTTCAGATCTACTAACCGACTGGGAAATCTTAGTTGCTGCGTCACGTGGGCGCCAGGGATGGGAGTTACATACGTTAAAGCTTCATTCAATGCTGAGATCGGTCGAATTGTGCGACAGTGAATGAAAACAGGGGAAACTACCGTCAAAACGTATCCTGCCTCGAGAAATCAACAACATGTTTACCGCTCAACCGAATGTTTAGACAGGACGCACAATCGTTGATGCTACACTGGCTGAAAGGCTTGAGCAGTTGGACAATGAGAGTAATATTGTCGTCGCATGGTCATACACAAGCCTTAGCGTACAAGTAGGTCATGATGCCGATACGTAAGGTCATGATGCCGATACGTAAGGTCATGATGCCGATACGTAAGGTCATGATGCCGATACGTAAGGTCATGATGCCGATACGTAAGGTCATGATGCCGATACGTAAGGTCATGTTAGAGATACGTAACGTCATTATGCAGTACGTAAAGCTTGACGAAGTAAGTATTTAAAGTGATCAGAAAGGTTTTGTGTGCTCAGGATTGCCCGGACGTCGTTGACGCTTTTGATTAGACGGTCAGAAGAGGTGACTGCAGTGTGTGGTTTATGTAGTGATAGCGATCCACATAAAATAATAGATGCACATAGGATAACGATTTATGTAGCAATAAGAATTCACATATCGAAGTATCTGAGATGCGTTCTTGAGTCCAAATGGCATCCGGAGCCATTCGAACAACCCCAATGGGGTGCCAAACGCCAAGATCCTTCTCGCCTTTTCGATCATGTCGACGACCCAAAAACCACTTGCCATATCCAGGGAGCAGTACCACAATGCTCCGTTCAGATCCTCCAACCATTCGTTGATTAGAGGCATGGGGTAGACCATAAGCTGGCTCAAGTCACTCACCAACCGATAATCAATGCAAAGCCTGATATCCACCCCATTTTTCTTCACGATAATGACGATTGGGCTGGCCCATGGCGAGGTAGAAAGCTGGATGATCTTAGCAGATAATAGTCCCTTGATCAGATCTGCCAACTTTTCTTTGAACTGGGGGCCACCTTCCGTACACGTTGTGCAATCGGCCTGGCATCTCCCACATCAATGTCACAGATAGCCCCTCGAGCAGCCGGCGGTAAGAAGTTGCCCTTTCCTATGAGTAGATGTCGCCTTCTCATTATAATTTGTCTAGTCGGTCCACCTCCTCTGGGGTGTTTCCGTCAAAGTTAGGAATCTGTATATCTTCCAGCTTGATACTCGTAGGTGAATGGTCAATCTCCGGTATGATAGCCCATCCTTGATTTACATCTTTGGCCCAGAGTTCCCCACTTTCGAACATGCACACTTGGCCATCTGCTTGTGGCGACTCTACCAGAGATCCTTCGCCTTCTTTCGTCTGCCCCACTTGGTCGACCTGAGGGTCTACCTGGCCGACCTGAGGGTCAATCTAGTCGACCTAAGGTTCTTCTTGATCGACCTTCGGCTGGAATGCTATCGTCCTTACTAGAACAAGTATCCTTGGCCGCTGAAGTTATCTAGATGGAGTACTGTTCTGTGGTACCACCACCAATAGTCCTTCATCCTTCCTGGTAGGTCTTCCTGATAGTTGACCTGGTTGGTGGTAGATTCATACACCAGGTTTAACCACTCGGTATATCTTCGAGACCCTACCGATACAACCCTGCGCTCTTGGTACTTGGGCTTTCGTCAGCTACATGCCTATCTTGATGTACTCGTGTAATATCAGTGGTTGGGCACTGACATTGGTTACTTTGAAAACCTTCCGACTTCCTACCCCTTAGCTCACATTTGTAATCCATCGTTCTCCTGTTGTGACCCACAACTTCCATTGGTGCAAGATCTGCCTTTTTAGAGCCACTTCCTCGTACCCTCCGGCCGGTATCTGCACGTATCGACCTAGCTTCACATTTGATACCCGGTTATCGTAAAGGGTCCTTGTCCTAATAATTGGACTTGAACATCATCGCGAAGACATAATGTACCATCCGTCAGGTCTAGTCGAATACCGGCTGGTACTATAAAGTCTATGCCTAAACTTGCTTCCTGGCCCACCATTGGGCCCACCAACACCTTGAAGATGTATACCAAGTTCCTGTTCAGAGTGACCTTGATGCGAGGGCGTCCTTCCGTGGTATACACGAATTCCCAGATACCAACACATTCTTGGCGCTCACTTTTATCAATCTGGAAGCCTACCTTACGAGCAAAGGCGATATATAACGTAGATATTTCGGCGCCAGTATCGAACAACAAGCTAGCTCGATTGTTGTTAAGCTTCCCAAAGGGCCTTGACCTGTCCGAACCACTTCGTAGGAGCATGGCACTTTTAGTACCCTCGACTCGCCCGGCAGTAGGTCCAACTCCATTACTGCACTTTCTCAAATAAATCGTTAGATGCACCGAAAGAAGAATTGCTTTTTCACATATGTAAAAATGCAACAGTTAGAACGCTCGGCTCGTTCCAGATTCAAACCTGGTAAGCGTCCTAGTTTAGCATCTGATCGACCTTCTCCGGCAACATTCCAGCGTGCTTGGTCGGGTTGTACCACTGACGGACCAAGTTGTAAACTCTTTTATCGGACACTTCTCAACCTCGTGGTTTTTTCCACAGCCTCTTCATACGAACAGGCAACGATCTGATTGATGGCCCTTCTTCCCACAGCGATTGCAGGTCAGCCTCTTCCAACAACCCAACTCTTCATGCTTCCTGGATCCACAAGGGGCGCATCTTACACTTGGGGTTGCCGACGCCGTGCGAGGTCCATATGTCCTTAGTCGAGGGTCGAGGCTGGTCGACCTCTCTGATGGGTCGGTCTCTTGAAGGCAATGACCCTTGGTCCTTCGTCTCCGTCTCCGTCTCCGTAGCCATGCGGGAGACCCCTAATAGGTCACCGTCAGCATATGAATACGCTTGTTAACCTCATATTTGCTTGGACGACGAGGTATTTCAAATTCTTATGGCCAAGGACAGGGAGCAGCTTCTGCAACCCTTCCTGTTGCGTCTGTGACAGGCCAACCGCAGACATCTCATCGATGTCCATTCTCACACCGAGAAGTAGTCGCAAGCCCAGGTTTGGGATGACTACAAGTGCTACCAGGTGTAGCCGAGCTACTGTAGCTACGCTACTTATGCACTATGTGCAAATGCACTATGTGCAGAAGAAGTAGTCAAACTACTGTGGCAAAGCTACGTATGCACTATGTGCAGAGGATGGCAAGCTCAGAGAGCTTCTACGTCTTAGGGTGCTTAACCCTCCTAGGCTAGCGCGTAAGCTTGTGCCGATCGGTTGTTGTAACCGTGTCTCAAAGAGACTAATATCATTGATACGATTCCTCAGGAGTAATAGAAATCTCAAGCAGTGATGCTTATAGAGCAGGTTTGAAACTGATTTGTATTTATGTTTATCTTCTTAACACTAAATATAGAAGCACCTATCCTATACTTAGTGCTAGGCACTATTTACTGGCTCTATAGCCTGTTATTATTACGCAAATATGCATAGTCACTATACTTAAATAAGTATAATGACTACGTGGCTCTCTGCCACAATGCGACCCTTCGTACTTCAGGTACGGTCACATCGAGTCTACTCTTGTACCCAAGGTACAGCCACACCACATTGGTGTGGCAGGTGTGTATCTACAATGCACACCTTCGTGTAACTCCGTTACACCCCCCCACTATCCGTGGGACCCGACGAACCTTTGATCTTTCCAACTTATTGGGAGTCATCGATTGTTGTTTTCTTCCAATTTTGCTTGCCTCCCAACTAGTGCCGCGCACTTGCAAACAAAGCTTTAGTGTTCTGATACTTGCTCCTTGAGCACCTGTGCTTTGCACTTTCTAAGTATCCTAGTGTTACGGCACTTACTCCTTGCGCATATAGTGCCTTGCACTCATACTAAAGCTTTATAGTTTTACGACACTTGCTTATCAGCGTTAGTGCCTAGCACTTGGTATTAATAACCTTTGTGTGTTTACAACCACTTGCTTTTACACCATTTTGAGTGCCTAGCACTTGCTCTAACAGCATTTCAGTGTTTTAAACTCTTGCTTATAAGCATTTGAGCATATAAGTGTGGAACACTTGCTCACAAAGCACCGTAATGTTAACACTAGCTTATAATGCATATTAGTGTCGAACACTAGCTTATCAAGCACCTAAGTGTTCAACACTTGCATATAAAGCACATTTTCGCTAAACACTTGCTTTCAAAGCACCTTCGTGTTCAGCACTTGCTTATAAAGCACCTAAATGTGTAACACGTGCTTGTAACGCTCCTAAGTGTTGAACACTTGCTTCTATAAAGCCTTTAAGTGCTTAAAACACTTGCTTATATAATCCCAAAGTGTTGTA